AGAGTACAGGCATTATTTTCTAGAATATCCATATCATTCAGGTTGGGCTGATGTTTCCTCCTAGGGTGGACTTAGGTTACGTATCTATAAATATTTTTGTCAAGATTATCACAGAAGGGATGCTGCCTCCTTCTCAGTGCATCGTGCTGGGAGGCACATATCAGCTATGTACTCTAAATCATTTAAAGCTCACAACCACCTAAGAGACATGTGATCTTCCTCCTCCTCTTCCTCTCCTCCTCTTCCTTCCCATTTTACAAAAGAGGACACTGAGACGTAGAGGTGCTATTTCACCTCTTAAGCTCATTAAGAGGTGAAATAAGTGGTGACGGTTGGGGTTTGAATCCAAGCCATGAAGTCCGGGGCCCATGCTCTCAACCACTAATTGATGCTCTCTTTCAAAAGGCAACTTTTGCTCCCAAGTGGAATAGGTTTAGATAACATCGTTATCGTTACTTCAGAAACAAGTCCCTCATTATGTGCCAAGCACTATGTTTCCCATACATTACCTTTTGTTTAAGATTTTTTAAATTTATTTTTAGAGAGAAGGGAAGGGAGGGAGAAAGACAGGGAGAGACACATCAATGTGTGGTTGCCTCTCCTGCACCCCTCACTAGGGATCTGGCTGGCAGCCCAGGCATGTGCCCTGACTGAGAATCGAACTGGCAACCGTTTGGTTCGAAAGCCAGAACTCCATCTGCTGAGCCACACCAGCCAGGGCTCCCTACGTTCTCTTAGTTAATCCTCACAATAAACCTTCGCCGTGGCACTGTCATCAAGCCCACGCTAGGGCCCATGTCCAGGACACACAGCTGCAGGGGCAGGGAGCGGGGCCTCCAGCTCAGGTCCGACCGACATCACAGCCTGAACACCTAAGCACTCCGAGTTCTCAGCCTGTCACACAGACGCTGCCACTTCACAGCCAGGAAGAGGCAGCTCCTTGGTTTTCGTAATCACTGGTTACACAGTCCTACACGTTTCCTAATGCTGGCCTCCGGCCTTCACAATACATTGAAATCAGCTGATCCTCTCTTGCAAAGGAGCCAGGGGTAGTAGGCCCAGCGGGGGGACTGGCCTGGTGAGCAAAGTTACAGGAAACACCTGGAGAGGAAGATCCACGGTCACCAAGATAAAGAGAAAACTAGGGCCCTGAGACACTAGGCCAAGTCCACAGGAGTCAGGTAGAAAGAGGAAGGAAGAAGCCCAAGGTCACAGGCAGGACAGAGCAGAGAGGTTCAAGAGCATTGCTCCAACAGGTTTCCTAGGTTTGTTTGTCCAGCTTACAGGTAAAAAGTAGAAGTGTAAGACATCCACCCAAAATAATCATAGAAAAGAGAAACATCTTCGTCCTATGTAAAGTAAAAGAACCTGTCTACTGATTCTCCCTTAAACTATTCATCGGCCTGCAATAGTTTGTATCACTTTTACCCAATAAAACCCGTCCCACAAGAAGAGAATGACTCGGGAGCTCCCAACCAAACCCTTCGCTTCTTAGGTTTATAGCACCCACATCTCTTCAACCGGTTGCATCAGAAACATTTGTACCCACAAAGAAAGCCACATTGTGGTCACACCTGACAAGAGGAAGTGTCCGATCTTTCTCACTTATGTTCATGGAGTCCCAAACTTAGTCCTATTCATTGCTCACATTCTCAAAGCAAAGGATGCGCACTTGACTTTTGAGTACTGAGCACAGATGTTTAATCCCAACGATCTCTCCTTGGACACTCAAATATGTTTAAAATATACATTTTAAGTGTGCTCTGCTCTAAGGGAAATAATAACATTTAAATCCAAACCTATAAAACACAAACTTGGTATATAAATATATCGGTATATGAGGATTTTTCTGGCCTCAGAAGGATTCACTGGGCATTTCCATTAGTGAATAATAACCTGAGAACATTTAAAATACTATTTGATCTACATGCAACTTTTCAGGGAAATGGGTATTAAATAAAAGAGGAAAAACCTATAGGTACAGGAAAAAGTATTAACGATTTTGCTAGTAACATTCCTGATTTCATAAAAGTTAAATAAATAATGTATAATATTAACCAACAAAACTAGAATACAACCCCCACAAACCAAGCTTACTGCTTTAAGACACATATGTGAGAAAGTATTTAATTTCCAAGTTAGTGACAGAACTGGCATTTTTAGACCTTCTCCTGTTATGAAATCGTATGCTACTACATGACAATACCGGTTATTTTTATCAGAAAAGAAAATGTAAAAAAACCTGGAAGACTAACGTAAAGATAGAAACATGTCCCTGAGTTTGCCATGTATCTCTTCACGTTGATCTGTTCTATGAATTTGAATTCATGGTAAATGTAGGCCGGAAACTATTCGGGGCAGTGGAAGTTTTGTTCTTGCTTTGAGATAAAGTCTGGGGAGGTCTGAAACCGGGAAGAAAATTCATACCCGAAGTGCTTGGGATTTCTCTCCTGTCCTTGCTCAGAACACCCCTAAGGAAAAGCCAGTGACCTCATGTGATTCAGGCCGAGGATACGCAGGAAAACACGAGGGCTCTGTTACAGCCTGCCCATCAGACAGGCGGGCTCAGGCAGCAAGACAAAGGGAAGATTGTAGGGACCGGGAAGCAGGAAATAGACAGATAAACTTGAAAATAGGTAGGCTCTTCCATGCATGTGCATTAGACGAAGGCAGGATGGGACCATGCCAACCACGACTGCCTGGAGGCTATTGCTGAAGATGTGGCTGAGGAAGAGAGTCACTGTTTCCTGCCCGCCAGGTACACGGGAGTGGATTTGGCACTGTGCTTAAATCATAACCCATCCTCAAGACTGGTTTGTACATGGTTCATGCTAGTCACTTCAGGGAGACTTTAAATTTGGGTGATGAAAATGCTCTAAAAGTGATTTTGGTGATGAGTTGTGTAAGTCTGTGAATATCCTAAAAGCCAGTAAATTACAAAAAAACCCCAAAGCAAACCAAAAACAAAAACCAAACAAGCCCTGACCCATTAGCAGCCCCCCCTCTATTTTCTGCCCAACATCTGCAGCCCTAGGCAACCCCTAATCTACTTCTGTCTCCATAGATGTGCATCCTGTGGACATTTCACATAAATGGAATCACGCGCTATGTGGTCTTTTGTGACTGACCTCTTTTACTTATCATTATATTTCCAAGACTCATCTGTGTTGTTGCACAGAGGAGACAGCTTTCAAGGGGAGACGAAAATCAGGATCTCGAAGATTCATCTGCCCCCTCCCATGTTCATCGCAGCGTTATTTACAAAGCTGAGATATGCAAACACAGCTAAATGTTTGTCAGTGGATTGATGGCTAAAGAAAATGTGGTGCATGTATACAAAGAAATATTATTCAGCCACAAAAAAAAGAAAGAAAATCCTGTCTTTTGTGACAACATGGATGAAATTTTAGGACATTAAGTGAAATGAGTCAGAGAGAGAAAGGCAAATACTGTATGACCTCACTCATATGCAGAATCTAAAAATAAAAGCCAAACTCACAGACACAGAGAGTGGAATGGTGGTTGCCAGGAGCTGAAGGATGGGGGAAATGGGGAGATATAAATGGGGAGAAATGGGGCACAACTTTTTGTTATAAGTTCTGAGGATCTAATGTACAGCATGGTGACTATAGTTAACAATACCGTATTTTTACTTGAAATTTGCTAAGACAGTAGGTCTTAAGCAATCTCACTACAAAAAAAAAGATAACTATATTAATGGATATATTAATTAGATTATAGTAGTCACTTCACAATGTATGTGTATGCCAAGTCACCACATTGTATACTTCGAATATATACAATTGCATTTGTCACTTATAGCTCAGTAAAGCTGGGGTTGGCAGGGAGCCTTCTATGGGCATCTTAGAGGTAAAGTACAGGCGCCCAGAGCAGAAGCTTTGCAGACGGCAGAGGAGAGGTTGCCTGGGGGTGTGGATGTGGAGCGAGGACTGGATTGCAAAGGGCACAAGGAAAATTTTGAGTGAGCGAAGGTGAGGGTTCCACAGACTCATGCTCAAATGCATCACACTGTGCATTTAAATAAGTGCAACTCACACTGTAGCAGTCCTACTGAAAAGCCTTGCAGATCTCTTTCCAAGCAAAATGAATCATCTGAACGTGAGGTGTTTGCCAGGAACCCCAGTCTCAACTTGCCGTCGGAAGCCCGGCTGAAACCAGTGCCGTCCGAGGACAGCCTGCGGGAACACGGACCGCGCCACAGCTGGTGCTCCGATGAGCAAAAGTAAACCGTTCGGGCCCGTAAGCCCAGTGCCTCGTCAAAATGCCCTCATTGAGCCACAATTCCTCACAATGTCCTCAATTATTTGTTAATCAAGATTCAAAATAAGAAGCGGTCAGGAGAAATACATGAGAATATTCTTTCTTGCAAGAAAGAAAAAAAATAAACAAGAAAGGAAGAAAGAAGGAAAACCTTGGTGGCCAGAGTAACAGGCCCTGAAAGATATCCACACCCTAATCCCTGCACCCTGTACGTTACCTTTCACGGCAAAGGGGGGATTAAGGTCACAGGTGGAATTAAGATTGCCAATCAGCTGACCTTAAAACAGGGAGATTATTGGGATTATCTAATAACCCAATTACCTGTGGGTAGGCCCAGAGTAATCCCAAGATCCATTAAAAGTGGGAGAGGGAGAATAGGAGACACGCACACACTGATGCAACGCTGCTGGCTTCCCCCGAGGAGGAAGTGGCCACGAGCCAAGGACTGTGGGCCCGAGCGGGAAGCCGGTGGCTCTCTCCCCGGGCTGCCAGAAGGAACACAGCCCTGCCAGCACCTTGGGGCTAGCCAGACAGAACCCACTTCAGACCTCTGGCCTCCAGAAGTGTAAAATAACATAACTTGTGTTGCGTTCAGCCACTGAGTTTGTGATAACTTATTACAACATCGGTAGGAAGGTACTACAGTACAAAATCCTTCAGGAGAGGTGAACTAGCTCTGACCTCCTCTACTTGCACAGTCACTTAACAAATATTGAAAACGCTCCATGGACAAAGCATTGTGCTGGGAACAGGGGAGTCACGCATGAAAATGAAATTTGTGCCTGGTGCCCATGAACGGAGATAAAGGATGGCAAAAACGTCAGACCGTGGAGGAAAAGCTGGGAACGGAGGCATCCCGCATGGGACAAAGGATAAGAGCTTTTCACTCCTCTTTGGCCAAGAATACTGCCGGTCCTGCCCTCCCCTTCCATCTACAAACTGCCATCTTTTGTGGCCCAGATTTGGGTGAGGGTCTTTTTCGTCCCTTGTCCCCTGTCTCAGAAACGGAAAAGACTCTCACCTGCATCTTGGGTTCGGTTTCAGGCTCTCGCCTTCAGTTATAAAAATGTACAGAGAGCATTAGCGAATCTCAGCCAAAGCTATAAACTACGACTGGCCACAAGAGTGTGCACGTGAGGTGACTGTAATTTTTTTCTGCCAAACCAGAATTAGCCGGTACAGGAATGAAGGAGCCTGGAGATTTGAAATTGCACTGACTGGGAGGGAGCTCAGGTTAGGTTCGGGCCACCTCCAAACGGACCCTTTTTAAAGACACGCGTACTGAGGCCTGGAGCTCAAAGCTGCACCGGACGCTCACCTGGCCCGGCATCAAGCGGCGGGGGAGCCCGGAGCCCGGAGCCCGGAGCCCGGATCGAGAGCACAGAGCAGGGCAGAACGCCGAGCAGCAGGCACCGGCAAATCCAGGATGATAGGCGACATTGCAACAAATCTCTACGGCCAGCCGCTCAGGGGACTCCGAGGAAAACAGCAAGTTCAGGGATCCCGGCCAGGAGCCCAGTGAGACCGCAGCCCCCGAACGCCTTGTGCGGTGAGTATCCCGAGGCCGCGCGGAGCAGCGGGCCGGGGAGATGGAGCAGCTCCGGAGGCTCCTTGGAGTTGGGGACTGTGGGTGGCCGCTGCACCCCGGGGACCCTTGGGAAGGGGTAGTGCAAACCCAGGGCAGGGTTGGGGAAGGCTGCCCCACGGTCGAGGGGAGGACTGCTCCGAGGCACGGTGGTCGCGCCCAGGCCGCCCGTCGTGTGGCTCCCGAGCTGCAAGCGAGGCCACCTCGGGGCGGGCGGGGTTAGCGCTGTCCAGGGCGGAGCAAGAGGATGCGCGCCTCGCTCCCCCGCTGGCCAGGGCCGGGCGCGCGACCTCCAGGGGCGCGGCGCCCCTCGGAACTCCCGCGGGGCCCGAGGGACGCGCTCTTCCCGGCGCCCGCCCGCGCTCCCGGCCCTTTCTCACGGCCCCAGTTTGGGACTCGAACCAGCCAGTCATGGAGCGGGGAGGGGAGACCAGGGGCTGAGGCTAGGGGACATTCAGGGGTGCAGAACGCCTCCCGCACGGGCTACCGGGACTGCGATCCGCCCAGCTTCCCTGCGGAGCTGGCGGGTTCTGAGAGCACCAGGGGACGTCGGTTGCCAGGGAATAGGGGATCTCGGGGTTCCCCGGAGCCGGGGAAATTGAGTACCCCGGAGGGCGGCCGGGGGCGGCGGGTGGGAGCTCGGAGGGGGTCGCCGAGGCCGGATCCTGCCCAGGGCGTGCAGATGCTGGGTGCCCCCGCCCCCCACACCCAATCCCCGCTCCCATAGCGGTTCGGACCAAGGTCCCAGGGAGGAAAAGAGGGACTAAAATGGGGCAAGGGATCTGGGACGGCCATTTCGGGGCCAAACGCCGCCCAAGCCATTGACGCTGTTTTAGGAGCTCAACCCTGTTTAGCAGTTAAGCTGTTTTCTTTCCGCAGAAAAGTTGATGCAGGCTCATTAGCAAGGATGAGTGAGGGTTATTAGTGGGGATTAGCACGATTCCTTTTCCCCTTCTCTAGCTTCTTTGTGGTTTAGTTTGGGGGGGACAGTTAAGATAAGGAAGGGGTTGTAAAATAAGCTTTGCAATCTATCAGGCCTGGGTTCCAGTTTTGGCTCCATTGCCTGCTAGCTTAGTTTGACGTCTCTCAACTTCCTTGCCCCTATTTAACCAATAGCCTCAGTTTCCTTATCTGTGAAATGGGACATTAATACCGTATGGACGGGATCGTTGTGGAGAAGCCACCCAGCACAGTGCCTGACTTATGGAAGGCATTTATATGCTCAGTTGTCCCCAGCTGGCGTTCCCGGTTTCTCCTGCGCTGTCTTCTCTACACAAGCTCAGCGCCATCCTTGGCTGCTCCAGCTTCTTCAGCCCTTTGGCCTTAAGTGCGCCCTCTAGAGGCCCAACTGTTCCCGGGCAACCAGGTCCGGAGTTTGTACAGAGCCAAGTTCAAGGTACGCCTGCCACATGCTTGGATCTAATAAAGAACCTGTTACCAACAACACGCCCTGTCCACCTTTGGAGATTTTCATTTCAGTTCTAACTTGGCACTTTTCCTCTTTGTTTCTCATTTATAATGAGCTCACCACATGCTCACATAACCACAGTAGCCAAATTAAAAATGAACAACTTGTTTATGAAACTCACTCCGGTAACAACTGTGGAGATTCAATTCCGTTTTAATCTCGCGTACACTCCGGGAGACACTGCCCTCCATTTCGTAGCCTGTGTGTGTTGCTTCATTTTCCCCATTTATGAATCCTTTTCTGCCGTTCATGAACTCACGTTTGGGGAGAATGGACCCATAATCTTTCCATTTCCTTCCTTTACTTTGTTCAGCTCGAGGCTCTAATGTTACATGCTGAGCTTCCAACCCACGAGCCTAGAATGGGTAACGTTTTACAGATTGACCCTTAGCCGAAGCCTCACCCTCACTGCATCGATTTACCCCAGTGTGCCACGTGCATATTTACCTTTCACGTGTGTGTCAGGACGTGGAAGGGGGTGGGGAGAGCTTGAAGCCTTTACGATAGAGAAAGACTGGGAGCCGCGGCCCGAGAGGTCCAGAACCCTCTCCTAATTCTCCCTTCCTCTCCAGGTGCACACAGGAGGCTCATGATGCGCAAATAATTCTCTTCTATCTCATAATTATGGAAAAGCTAACACGCTACAAGCCAGCCTGGGGTGGGGCAGATAGAAATGTGTTCTTCTGTTGACTTTTGTTTTTAGCGAACCTGGTTGGACAATAAGTTAACTGCGATTCATCAAAACAGGAATTACTCTTAGAGAGATTTAGGTGTGAAACACAGATGGCTCTGACCGATCGTCAGGGACCTCCTGAGGACCTGAGAGAACTTCCTTTGCCTACCCCCCCCAACAGAGCTCTGCATCTGACAACGCTCTTCTCCATGCACGGCTGTGCCTCTTGGATGAGACTGGTCCATTAGCCCTGGCTGGCGTAGCTCAGTGGATTGAGCGTGGGCTGCGAACCAAAGTGTCGCAGGTTCGATTCCCAGTCAGGGCACATGTCTGGGTTGCAGGCCATGACCCCCAGCAACCGCACACTGATGTTTCTCTCTCTCTCTCTCCCTCCCTTCCCTCTCTAAAAATAAATTAAAAAATAAAATAAAATAAAGACTGGTCCATGAAATGCTAGTCAACGTCCTTTACTTATGACCAAATAAACTGGAAAAGCCAAGAACAGTTCAATGGCAACCGCGTATCTTCACCCATAAAAACAAATAATCCAGTAAGACTGGAAAGTTCCTAACGTTGCTTAGGAAAGTTCTATTTCCACTGGGTTGAAACACTATAAATTTGTATTATTATTTCAAAGTCTTCCTTAGATGTTGATGGACTTTAGGAAAATGCTACGTTGTGTTGTTTTATCTTAGGAAACAGAGCTGAGCATTATCCCGCTGATTGTAAATGATGACATCATCACGTATGTGGGCTGGGCACCCCGTTTCCCGGCTGCGCTTTCTGGCTTCTCGGGATGCTGCGTACAGCTAGCAGGGCCCGAGGGAGGACAACCACCGAACAGCCTCTGAACCCTTTCTAGGTTCACCCTCCAGGCCCTTCTGACAGGGCAGCAAAGCTCTGGGCTGGGAGCTTTGGAGAGAAAGGGTGGCCCCATCCCTTTCCACCCCTGGGGAGGCTGTTCTCTCCCCAGGGAAGGGGAGGGTGCTGGCAGACATGCACACGCACCTGGAGCCCAGCCGGACTGGATGTCCCAAGGAAAGTGGCTCTTGGATTAATTCTCTTCCTTCTTTTTCCTCCCTCTTTTACAATTTAGCCACAAATCTATTAGAGACAAGAAGCTGATCCAGGGACCTTTATTTACATATAAAGTTAATATATGTTGATTTAGATTTTTTTACCAATAAGATCAATTAAAAGGAGCAAAAATTACTTGTAAAACCATCATCGAAAAAATAGTGTCCATCAACATTTTTCTTTGTTTCACTCCAGTCTTCTTGCCGATGGAGACATATTTTAACAACGACAACAAAGGGATCATGACATTTGCCCATTTTGCAACCCCCACCCCGTGTAATTCGTACTTCCCATGTCTTAGAGTTCAGAGCGGTTTGATTGTTGATGGTGGACTTGCACTGCACAGCTATACCACCACTGATTTATTTAACACCTGCTCTGTCTAATGTTGGATACTTGACAGGTTTGCAGGGGATTTTTCTTACTATTTCAAGGTTCACTATTATAGTTTAGTTGTATTTTAAAGGATGAGCCGTAAGAGGACCAAGAGGTTAGAAGGAGAGAAGTATGTTCCTGAAAAAGGGAAGGAGAGAAGGTCATGCTTAAAAGAGGCTGTGCCGAGTGGAAGGAGCTGCAGGTGTTCACAGGGCTGGACAGCAGCGTGCAGCGGTTGGGGGAACAGGAGGAGGGACCAGATGGGGGGCAGATGTGCAGGAGGAGAACCTGGCCGCAGCCAGAGCATAGAACTAGCCCTGGGCCACCACACCAAGGTTGGGAGCAGGAACGGGATGGGGGCAAGTTATCTCCTAAAGATAACTTGACCAAGGTGGCAATATTACACGGCAGGATAGCCTTTTATCACTGCCAGCAGTCTGGGTAGTGGGGAGGCGGAAGAGGACCCTGGCAGAGAGGGCAGCACTGTGAGCAGGAAGTGTAGCTGCTGAGAACTGGACACCTATTTAGGAGATAGAATCATCTCATTATTTTTGAAAGACAAAAATGATGATGAGAACGAGGTATGAGAGACAAGAAAAAATCAAGGTAGCCCCGAGATAGATCCATTGAATTGCTCTTCCACAGATGTCCCTGGTTCCCAGGCAGCCCTGTCTGCCTGGCAAACTCTCAACCAGAGCCAATGCTGTAGCCCACGGATCGGCAGGCTTCCCCTGTAAAAGGTCAGAGAGTGTTTTAGGTTTTGCGGGCCACGTAATTTTTAAAAAGGTAAAAACATTTAGCTCAGAGGCATATAGAAGGCGTCGGTGGGCACTGCGCAGTTCACCAAAGTCTGCTTCTCCGTCCTCCCTGTCACATCAGATCACGGCGGGGACACGTCCCACAGCTGGAGGTGTTCCCAGTGTATTTGGGGTCATTTTCTGCACCGCTTTCCTCCGCTGCCACAAAATGACTTTTTGGTAATAATCATAGGGAATGGTCAGTAATAATCATGATTTTATTTGTTCTTCTCTTTTGAAGTACATATAGGGCAACTTTAAAGATTAGATACGTTTCATGACAGCACTTGGCCCCGAGAAAAAGACGTGTTCCCAAATCTGTGTAATGATGAAGGTTCGCCTGAAGTTCTAGTATGGTGAGGGGATCACTTTGGTTAGGACGAGGTAGAGATGTTCAGAGAAGGTGAAGATTTCTTTTTTGTTCTGATGTTGAATGAAATGATTTGTCGTATGTGTTTCAGAAAATCTTGGAAAATGTATACAAGCCATGAAGATATCGGGTATGATTTTGAAGATGACCCCAAAGATAAGAAGACACTTAAACCCCACCCAAACATTGACGGCGGATGGGCTTGGATGATGGTCCTGTCCTCTTTCTTTGTGCACATCCTCATCATGGGCTCCCAGATGGCCCTGGGGGTCCTCAACGTGGAATGGCTCGAGGAGTTCCACCAGAGCCGCGGTCTGACTGCGTGGGTCAGCTCCCTCAGCATGGGCATCACCTTGATCGTGGGTATGTTCGCCTGTGACCTGTTGTAAAACTGAGCAATTATAGAATGACGGTTCCCCGCTGTAAGTAGCGTCTTATGTTGTTGAAACAATAATGTTAGTGATGTTACTCTTTTTTTCATTATGGTAAAATATGTATAACATAAAGTTCACCATGTTAGCCATTCTTAGGTAGATGGTTCAGTGCTATTGAGTACATACATCACCACCATTGATTTCCAGAACTTTCTTCCCAAACTGAAACTCTGTGCCCATTAAACAGGAGCGCCCTGCCCTTCCTCCCCCAGCCTCTGGCCACCACTGTTCCACTTTCTGTCTCTGAATTTGATTGCTCTGAGTACCTCCAGTCCTGGATTATTATCGGATTAATATTAAACTGGAGTCGTACAATATTTGTCCATTGGTGTGATATTGCTATTTGAATATTATAAACATGTGGCGTATTATCTACGTGGATCATTTTTAAAAGTCTCTTTTGCCCCAAACTCTGTTTCTTAAATGTTATAACACAATTATATATCATTACAAATATGTACTTATTTAACACTTATGAATATTTCTAAACGATAAAAATTTTCAAGAAAACACTTTAAGAGTCAACTAACAATCTTATATAAGAGTTCTGGTGTTTTTAATTTGAAATATTGGGCATATATTATTGGAAAATCTATTAAACTGTTTTTAGAAAAGGTGATATAGCTAACAGGAAAGAATAATACCATATTCTTGCATTTTCTAGTTAAGCCTACCCACATAGAAATCTATGAAACCAATTCGTATCCAGTTGGAGATACTAAACCAGAAGGTTATTATAAATGTAATATATTATTATGGCTAAAGTGTTTCATTTTGGGAACTAAACAGCTTTTACTGTCAATAAGTAGTTATATACCAGGTGCTTTCCTTTACATTATCTCATCTAATTTTATTTAATTCTCTCAACACTATACCACTATACCCCAATGTTCACTTGCTTCACTCGAAAATAACAGCCATAGTTTTTATGGCTGTTATTTTTATTTAAAATTTTAATTTAAATAAAATTAAAATTTTTTTATTTAAAGTACTTGCGATTTTTACACTGGAAACATAATGGCCTCAAATCTTTTTCTGGTTGTGTGAGAGTATGTGTGTGACCAGCATATGTGTGTTTGTTGGGAGTCTGTGACTTCCCAGTGATTTCTGCACTAGCAAGTGGTTGCTTGGATCCAACTTGGGGATTTGTTGATCTTGGCTGGCATTCAGGCGATGCTATTTTGGATAATACACATGATAGTGCTAATGACCGAAAACAAGGACAAAATATGATTTCCCAAGATGTGGGTGGGGTGTGTGTGTGTGTTTATCAAAGGGAATCTATACTACTGTAGTTTTAAAATTAAATAAGGGCATCATTATGTGTGGGAGAGAGATGTTGAGAAATCGTTTTTGCCTATAACACGGAGGAACTGGCTCCTTCAACCTGGCATTGGCCTTGTTAAAACTGGCGCTGTTTGCCTTGTGAGACGTGCAGGTAGGTTTACCGTGGTGTAGGAACATACTGGTTTTGTGTTGGATGTAATTCTGCCTTGTCAATGAGTCAGTAAAAAAAAAAAAACTTGTCTAGAATAAAATCCCATTTTTGGTTTTGGGTTTGTTTTTTTTTTACCTTTTTAAAAATAAAATGTTAAGGGTAGAACAAAGTACTTAAAGATCCCATTTAGGAAGTGCGTGTTTGCAACAACAAAACAGAAGACTCAGCAAAAGGCCAGGGTATGAAATGTCTCAACATTCTCCACACCATCTAATAAGGCTGTCTTAAGCAATGGAAACTAGTCCTGAAGTGACTGGATATGGTTTTGAAGATGATAACCCAAATAAGAACGCCTGACTCGTAATGACACTGAAACACAACTGTCATCTTCACTTAATTGGGAGGTGACTGTGTATTCGGAATTCTGTTGGAGAGCCCGGAGCCTCTGAACTCCAGGCAGTGAAATTTCAGGTTGCAGACTAACCTCCCCGCAGGAGAGGTGCCTGAAAACCTTTGTTCTGAGACTCAGAAATTGTAGCACAAGTTTGTAGTTACAGAGGAAAGGTCTTGTATTCTGTCTATCATGACCCTAAACAGCTGTTCATTGTCTCAAGTGGCCTGGAACAGGGGGGTGCCGGTATGTTGAGTGCTTTTCCGAGCCCGGAGCCATTAAGAACAGCACCCTTTATTTAGCACTTACTGCATACCCAGCACATGTTATGTACATCAGCTCATGCGGTCCTTCAGCAATACCGAAGGCCAGACCATCATCTCCATCTGACAGGAAGAACATGGGACACTCAGGGACATCCAGTAACTCGCCAGTAAGTTCGGGACAGACTTTAAACCTGGTCCAGTGGACTCCAAAATGGTGTCCACTCTTACCACACTGCCTGACGCTGCATCAAATGAGAGCTGAGCGTATGTTTGAAGTGAATAAATAGAAATTGTTTCTATTATCTAATCATTGGGTGACTCCTTTAAATTTTTTAAAGATTGTATGTATTTATTTTTAGAGAGGGAAGGGAGGGAGAAAGAGAGAGAGAGAAAAAAACATCAATGTGAGGTTGCTGGGGGCTGTGGCCTGCAACCCAGGCATGTGCCCTGACTGGGAATCAAACCTGTGATGCTTTGGTTCGCAGCCCACGCTCAATCCACTGAACCACGCCAGCCAGGGCTGACTCCTTTAAATTTTAAAAAATCTGTGAATTATGTTACAGGCTTGAAAGCCATCTCTCTCTCGGGCATTGACTTACACATGGGAAATTCAATAATTTCATTCTTTGCTGGCATGGACTTTGCCAGTGTTCTGCAGACGGTTCCAATTTCTAACGATTTTTAACACCTTAGCTGGATGGACAGCAGCCCTTGGGACGGCTCTCGAAATAATTCTCGGTGGAAGCCTTGTGGTTGGGGGAAACGGGAGTTTATGGGCTGCAAAAGGCCCCTGACTTGCTAAGAAGATTTAGAGCAGTGGGTGTCGATCCTGGGCTGCACATCAGAGGCCCCTGGGTGCTCTTAATAACCGTGATGCCAGGGCTGCACCTGGACCCTTACATTAGAATCTCATGGGATGAGACCCAAGCATCAGGATGTGAGGGAAAGGGAGTGCTTTTTTAAAGCTCCTAAGTGACTCCAGCATTGAGCCAAGGCAGGGAGCCATTGATTTCAAGGTTTCTAATGCCTTATGCCGTGAGAGACTGTCCCTCCAGGAGACCAGGAGTTCGACGAACTGTCCAGTCTCATCCATGATTACATGCTGAGGCTCACCTCAGCCTGTTTCTTTCCTATCCTGAGCTGTTTTCAACCTACCAGTGCTGGGATGGGCAAGAAAGTACGACTTCCTGGGGGCACTCCCTAACAATTTAATGCTTTATTATGTGGGGAGTGGGCTGAGATTCAGATTTTCTCTGAAGAAGAGAGAATCTGAAAATGAATATGATCGCATGCCAAAACACTGAATTCCTCTCCAAAGTGGGAATCAGAGCCAAAGGACTGTGTCCATTCTTATCTTCCCCCTCTCCTTAGACTGTGTGGGCAGTTCTTTTCATTCTGTTGAAATAACATTTCAAGCGTGGAGATGCTGCTGACCATCAGTAAAAAGTGGTTAGAAAACCAAACAGTCAGGAAGCTCGGGTCTGACTCCCCTTTTCTGGCGTATCTGTAGTTTGTCACTGTGGAGGAGTCACAGCATTTCTGGGTCTGAACTTGCCCGTCTGCAAATCATAAATGACTGAGCCCCAGCCTGAATGGGGCGAGAGTCGGTGAACCAAAAACGCCAGACGTCATTTCCAACTAATGTCCACCTCAGCAGAGCAGTTCATGCTTTCTTTTTGATATGTGATATTCTTGCGGATGTGAATATCTGCCCTTGGGAATTTGCCCCCTTTTCTCTGCAAATGCTTTCTTAATGGGTGTTTCATGAGCCTGCAGCAACAAAGCGCTTGCTTCTGGGCCTTTCCGTAATATGGAAACTATGTGCATGCTCCTGCACTGTGACCTGTTGACCTTTCACATCCTAAAAGGCCTGTTAACAGCAAAGCCATGAGTCAGGCTTTTTTTTTCTTTTTTATCCACTCATTCCAGATGTGAGTAGTGAAGTAACCATGGATTTAGAAAAATAAAAATATTTGTGAAGAAATCAAAGAAATATCTTTAACTCATGATTTCTGAATTTCAATTGTCCCAGATAATTCCCTCGGGTGTTTATCAATGTGTTTGCTATATTTGTATAATGTACTTATTTTATAGTACTTGTAAGAGGATATTTATCCAGAATAGGTTTACTATGTTAAATCTTTTCTAAGAGGTTTATCTACTGAATTGTTACCTGTAAAGAGACAGAGTTAAATAAATGAATTAGTCTGTACCTTCACAATCTTTAGGATTAGACCAAAAAGAAGATCAAACAAACAAACAAAATACTCTTAGCTGACTGTGTACCGAAACATGCACATAAATATTGTTAGAACTTTACAGGATACTTTTTAGTTTGGGCTCAAAGGGGAAATTCCTTAGAGGTCAACAGGTTTTTCACCTGAAATAATCCCACCTGAATATAGGGTTTCATGACTGTGTTAAGTAATAATGGTAAAAAATAAGATGATGTTTAAAATGCGCCACCTTACTGAATATTGAGTACAGCCTTGTACTGCATTGCTAAAATCTGGATTGCTCTATGGACAAGAAACCACTGATCACGAGGCAAGCATTAGGCTTCAGTGGCATCAGAAATTACCACCAAATCAGGAAGAAAACAAAGAGGGTTGACAAACACTAGGGCATCATAGTAACTTAAGTGACCAGAATGTGGGCCTTGTAATATTTACTGTATTGCCGTGAGTACTGGGACATCTCGTATAACCAAGTGTATATTCCTGAATTCCCCTCATGGTGTCATAAATGTGTGTGCGTAAGTGTGATAAGTCCAGTCCAATGAGTCCTTTTCAGCTTGGTTTGCATCTGAGTGTCATAAAAACAGGCAATCGGTTCCTTGCCTGAAACATAGGAGCCCTGAGAACCCCCTTCCTATACTCCCTTTAGGCCTGGAGTCAAAAACTGAAGTATGTACAGAGGCCAAGCAAGTAATGTAAATAAGGACAAGAGGCCAGGTATAAGAAGACTAAAGGGAAGGGTGGAGACTGCGGCAAACCAGAAAGCGTGTGATGCAGCTAAAAGAGTCAGCTACTGCCCAGCTCCAGCTGATTTGGGCTGGGTGGGAAGATACTCTTGTGTTGCCACTAAACTTTTCTTGAATTCTCTTAATTTTTTATTGATTTTTTTAGAGTGAGAAAAAGAGAGAAACATTGATTTGTTGTTCCACCCATCCATGCATTCACTGATTGATTCTCACATGTGCCCTAACTGGGGAATGAACCTGCAACCTTGGCGTTATTGGGACAACACTCTAACCAACTCAGCTACCTGTCAAGACATAAATTCTCTTAATTTTGAATGTGATAAATGACCCAGAACATTTTTAAAACATTGTTTGGGATAAAACACATTGACAGGCTGAATAGAGCCCCTAGACCACTAATTTAAGACTTCTGTTTTAGACAAGAGAATAAGCCAATTTGTCTATTTATTTTAAGTCTACCTTCCTTGAAAACCTAGAACGTGTGCTCTCCAGTGAAATTACTAAAATCCATATTTGCACATGAACAGCTTTTTTTTTTTCACATAAAACAATGGGATTTTGACACTCGGGAGCCCCCAAGGTGCATTACCTCACCCCTAGCTCAGAATGTCTTAGAAACCTAGATCCCCCTTCCTGTCTCTGAACCTCTCGTGCAGGTGGGGTCTCTGACTCTCTCATGTAGGCAAGATTCCCATACATATGTATGTATTAAACGTGGTTATTTTCTCTTGCTAAAAAAAAGGAAGAAAATAAATAAAACAATGGGTTTTGTTTTGTTTTGTTTTGTTTTGGTGTGTTTTATTTAGCAGCTCTAATGTTTCCTTCTTTGTCGTCACCTGAAGACTCACTCACTAAGCAAGCAGGAAAATGAAACGCTCTGAGTCAATCCCTTTGTCTGTCCGTGTTCTGTGGCAGGGCCTTTCATCGGCTTGTTCATCAACACCTGCGGCTGCCGCCGGACGGCGATCATCGGGGGGCTGGTGAACTCGCTCGGCTGGGTGTTGAGTGCCTACGCTGCGAACGTTCATTACCTCTTTATTACCTTCGGGGTGACAGCTGGTGAGCACATCAATTTTATTTTAACTTGACTTTAAATGTTTCGGCTGGGCATTTGGCGACGAATTGTATTGCACAGAAAAGAGACCGATTAAAGTGCTTTGTCCTTCAGTCTTCTCCACTCCACCCCCATTTTATCCTGCAGGAAATACTTTTTAGTATACTCGCTAGGCCTTAAGGGTGGTAGAACAGCCTAACAACTGTACTTGGCCTCACTAATAGAATGTAATTAAATGTCCCATATCTGGGTCTGAGTGCTGTCCTTTCTCTTGTAAGGAACAGGAAAAAGGAGGGTAGAAATACAGATGCAGCTGAAAAATTAAGGAAATGAATAATATTCTCTCATTGAATGATTGCAGCATCAAGCATGAATCACGGAATAATCATTTTCTCCTTCAGCCCTGTTCAAATTAACGAACCAGCAACAAAACCCACCCACACGTAGAGAGAGCAGATCTAGAGCACACGCAGTGAGTGGTGGCCCCAGCGAAGAGGTAAAAACTGGCCGCCGGGCAGCGCGGCTGGCACATCCGTTCTGCCCAACGCCTGCCCCGCCATCATTTCCTTTATCAACAGGTAGCAGCGTTCACACAGATAAGTCATTTCTTACTTGTGTAATTGTCCTTCGATGAACCAGATCCAGCCTGGCTTAATTTCTTCGAGTACAGACTTTTTAAGAAACTTTTCCTGGAAACAGTCCAGTGACTAGAGCTGGCACGGGGTTTCTGCATGATAGGTATGGAGATAAACACCCCTTCCCCCGAGACTAAGGACACACATGGGGGTCTCTGGGAAGACACACGGACCCCCCCTGTGAACTTGGTCCAGTGGTGTTTGGTCACGTTCACTATGATTTAATCCCAACAACCAAGACTGGAGACTTACTCTCATTATCTAGAGGTTTCTGTGGTGAGACTATTTGTGTAAATGGAACTGTATTTCTTGCAGTTAATTGCTTATTGATCCTCAACTATCTCTATATTCATTCATTCATTCATTCATTCACTTACGTATTCCATGAATGTTTATGCATTGAAGGAAGTAGAAAGACAGTGAGGAAGCTGGTTAAAGGAAAGTATTTCTTGAGACACTTTATTGCTCCCACTTTTTATACAGCAAAAACTTTTTTATACAGGAAAGGCTCTGAAAATAAATTCACCCACTTCCCCCACAAATATATATAGTTAAGTGGAGGATTTAGCTAAATCGTTGAGAAGCTACATGCAGACTGCAGTTGTGCTGCCTTTAGTGGGGCATGTTGAAGCTGATTGGCAATCCAGCCCCCTTTCAGTACAAAAGAAAAAAGTGAGATGCAAAAATCTACTGCAAAAGGCATGTGGTTGATAGATATTTATATCACCGTACAATTTATGTTTGAAAGGAATTTTGTTGATATCCTTCTTCATTCCTCCAAGCATTTCAGGCAGACTTGTTTATATCTTTTATCTTTTAAAACCTAGGCAATTAAAATTGCAGGGAGTGCTCTCTGATAAGTGGAAAATTAATGTCTGTTTGAGCAATTTCACTTAGCCAAGGGAGTCTGGACAAGTTTCTTCAGTGTTGCCAGAGCTCCATTGTCTTAAGCCTGTCTCCAAAGCCACCTTCTCCCCCACCATGCAGACCCACTGACCCGGGACCGTAGGGCTTTCTCTCCCCTCTGAGCCTCCTTTCTCCGCCTGCCTGTCAGACTGTAAGCCCCTCCTCTAAACCTGAGTGTGGTGCAGCATGGTTCAGGGTCCTGCGCGGAGCTGGGCATAGCAGGGGTTTGACGGACCTGTGGACTTGAGCCGGAATACCCATCCCAAGTCCAGCCCTTTCAAGTTCATGTAATAACCGTGCTGATTAAGGAAGGGGCTTAAAGTACAAATCAACAATTCTCGAACAAACAAGTTTTTTAAAAATATAGACGTTTGTGAGACAAATGGAAATTTGAACACCTTCTAGATATTTCATAATGTTAAGGAATTGTTCTTTTTTTTTTCAGATAATGATAGGATTATGTTGTTTAATCATAATCAATATTTAGAGATTCATACTAAATGTGTTTGCACATGGAATGATATATTCAGGATTTGCTTCAAAATATTATGGAGGAGAGCAATAATTCTGTGCCACAATATTTAATGTCAAAGAATTTCTTGGTTCTTTAACAAATAATTGTTTTCCAAAATAGCCACTGATACACTTACTTTGCAGCTGAGTTTTTTGTACCTTAACCATGGAAGTATAATATTAATCTTGTATGAAAGAGGTAGCTATTGTTTTGAAATGTGACCACTTATCTTCCCATACAACTTTATTTCATTCTCCAAGGGCAGTTTTCTTCCATTATTTTTTCAAGTAGATTTCCAATATCTTGCTCTTTCTCCTCTCCTTCTGGCACCCCTATGATGCAAATATTGGACCTCTTGAAGCTGTCCCAGAGGCTGCTTATACTATACTCATTTTTTTGGAATCTTTTTTCTTCTTCTTGTTCTGTTTGGTTGTTTTTTGGTTCCTTATGTTCCAAATCATTGATTTGATTCTCAGCTTCATCCACTCTACTGTTGTTTCCCTGTAAATAGTTCTTTATTTGAATTAGTGTGTCCTTCATTTCTGACTGGGTCTTTTTTGTGCTGCTGAGGTCCTCACTAAGCTCCTTGAGCATCTTTATAACCAGTGTTTTGAGCCCTGTATCTGATAGATTGCTTATCTCCACTTTGTTTAGCTCTTTTTCTGGAGTTTCGATGTATTCTTTCATTTGGGCCATGTTTCTTTGTCTCCTCATTTTGGCAGCCTCCCTGGGTTTGTTTCTGTGTATTCGGTGGAGCTGCTTTGACTCCGTGTCTTGGTAGTGTGACCTGATGTAGTAGGAGTCCTATAGGGTCCAGTGACACAGCCACCCTATCACCTGAGCTGGGTACTAGAGGTGCACCCTTCATGTGGGCTGAGTATACCCTCCTCTCGTAGTAGATCCTTGGTTGCTGTTGGCAGATCAATGGGAAGGATTTACCCAGGCCAGTCAGCTGCAAGGATTGGCTGTGACCACTCACCACCAACCTCCACCCTCCATGGAGGATCAGCTGTGCAGGGGCAGGATGGTAGTGCTCCGAAGTGGTCTGTAGCTATCCACTGGGTATATTGACCTTGGGGTTTCCCAGGTGGTACAGGCCAAGGTCGGCCACCACCTGTGTTTTGCCCAGGGACACCCTGTCTGAGCTATAAAGCAATCTGAGATGGCTGCTATTTGTGCTGGGCATGGAGATTCCCAGGCAAAGCCAAGCTGTGAATCCAGGCTGGCTGCCACTAGGGTGGGGCCTCGGACTCACTGAGGCCAACTGGTGCTTGTTTGGGAGGATTTAGGAAGTTGTGCAGCCGGAGTTGAGACCAGCCGTTCTTATGGAGAAGCAGCTTGGGTGGGCCCATAAGTTGGGTGGAGCAGAGTCTCTGGGGATCTCCAAGGTGGGTCAAACTGTGTTAGCCATGATGACGGAGTCTTGGATACGGCACCAGCTTGCCCACTCAGTGGCTGTGCGGGGAGAGGTGTTCAAAAAAGGAATAATGGCCTCTGCTTGCCTTGATGCCAGACACCCCAGTTTTTCCCAGTATGCCACTGGTGCTTTTCAGGCTGCTACTCCGGTGCTGGAGCTCAGAGGGAGTGAGTCTGAGTAAGTCTCTGTGGGTGTTATTTAAGAGGAACTACTTGGGGCTCCAGAAGTTTCTTCCACCCACTCAATCCCCACTGGTTTTTGTAACCAGAAGTTTTGGGGACTTATCTCCTTGCCACTGGAACCCTGGGCTGGGGTTCCTGGTGTGGGGCTGGGACTCCTTGCTCCCAAGATATCCCTCCCAAATTTTTATCTACCACACGTGGGTGTGGGACCAGCCTATTCTGCATCTGCACCCCTCTTACCAGTCTGGATGGATGTGGTTTCTTTAATTCCATAGGTATCAGACTTCCAATCAACTCAATTTCTGAAGTTGTCAGTGATGGTTGTTCTATATTTTAGTTGTAATTTTGACGTAGTTGCGTGAAGAGGCGGGCCATGTCTGCCTATGCCGCCACCTTGACCAGAAGTCTTCTCGTTTATTTTTTAGTAGACTTCATTTTGTAGAGCAATTTTAGGTCCACAGCAAAACTGAGGAAAGAGCACCGGGACTTCCTAAAACCACTGGACCCAATGCAAACACCCCCAACCAGCATTTTAATTTTGCCAACGCAAATCATAAACAGTTCCTGTTTTCTAAGAAAGATCCAGTTCAAAATCAGAGGTACAAATAAGTGTTAGGTGGTTTTGATTTAGAGTACATATATTGATGGACACATTATAACTCCTTTTCTTCTTCCAATTAATTTGTGAACGAATTGGCCCCTTCCTGGGGCTTCTGCAAATTGTCTGGAGGTGATCTTCATCCCTTGTACCTAAATGCTTTCCTGGGTACTTAATGCACTTGGCCCTGACACCAGAGCTCTCAGAAGCCAGTCATTCTTTCAGCAAATCACTAAGCACACACGACCTGTTCTGGGCAGTGAGGGGAGCATACCAGGCAGGGGTGACGGTGGAGACACAGCCCAGCCCTGAAGCTTACATTCTGATATGAGAATGGAACACATCCCATTTTTGGAGTAACCTGTACTGCAAAGCCTATTGGGGGACCTGATGGGCTAGGAACTTCTGGGCATGACCCCCGTTGGTGCTTACCCACTGAGCTGCTTTTTTACAATCACTATTATTTGGGTTTGGTTTTTTCTTTAAGATTTTACTTATTTATTCTTAGAGAGAGGGGAAGGGAGGGAGAAAGGGAGAGAAACATCAGTGTGTGGTTGCCTTTCACAGTGCCCCCCACTGGGGACCTGGCCCACAACCCAGGCCTGTGCCCTGGACTATGCCCAGCGACCCTTTGGTTTGCAGGCCCAAGCTCAATCCACTGAGCTATACCAGCCCCGGGGGCGGGGGGATGTTGTTTCAATCTCCAAAGGCTGCCAAGTCTGGATATGGCCATTCATGTTGTGCCTTGTGCTTTTTCCTTCCCTTTCAACCGCGCAGGCTTTGGCAGCGGGATGGCCTACCTGCCGGCCGTGGTCATGGTGGGCAGGTACTTCCAGAAGCGGCGCGCCCTTGCGCAGGGCCTCAGCACCACCGGGACGGGCTTCGGCACCTTCCTCATGACGGTCTTGCTCAAGTACCTGTGCGCGGAGTATGGCTGGCGGAACGCAATGATCATCCAAGGCGCCGTCTCCTTAAACCTGTGTGTTTGTGGGGCGCTCATGAGGCCCCTGTCCCCTGGGAAGGACGCAAAGGACCCAGCGGGGCGAGATCCGCAAATCCTCGCCGCTCACTCCGCTGAATCTGTCCAGACCGGTGGACAGCGGGGCAGGGCGGATGAGAAGGAGGGCAACCCCGGGCCCGAGGAGCCCCTCAGCGAGCCCGCAGGCCAGGGGTGCCCGGAGGAGGCGGGGCACGGGAAGAACATGTGCGCCCTCAGGGTGCTGAAGGCCGTGAGCCAGCTGACCCTGAGGGTGCGGAAGGGCTTCCGGGACTGGTACTCCGGCTATTTCGGGGCCGCCTCGCTCTTCACTAACAGAGTATTTGTAGCCTTTATTTTCTGGGCGTTGTTTGCATACAGCAGCTTTGTCATCCCTTTCATTCACCTCCCAGAGATCGTCAACTTGTATAACTTATCCGAGCAAAACGACGTTTTCCCTCTGACTTCAATTATAGCAATAGTGCACATCTTTGGCAAAGTGATCCTGGGCATTGTGGCGGACTCCCCTTGCATCAGCGTCTGGAACGTCTTTCTGATGGCCAACTTCACCCTCGTGCTCAGTATTTTCATCCTGCCGCTGATGCACACCTACGCCGGCCTGGCGGTGGTCTGCGCGCTGATAGGCTTTTCCAGCGGCTACTTCTCCCTCATGCCCGTGGTGACTGAAGACTTGGTGGGGATCGAGCACCTCGCCAACGCCTACGGCATCATCATCTGCGCGAACGGCATCTCTGCGTTGCTGGGGCCACCATTTGCAGGTAACCCGCGCGCGAGGTTTTAAAGCTTAGCGTGCCTGTAGGTTGTTAGGTTGTGTTCTCCTCGATGTCATGAAGTCCCAGGTGGATACAAGGGAAGTGTCCATTTGTGTTCGTGCTCCTTTTTGCTTGCCATTCCTGCCCCTCCAATTTCTCATTCATCAGTTTTAGCAAGCTAAAGGCCATTCTTTCATGTAGAAGGTGCGTGAACCTTGTTTTCAATTTTTGTATTGTCTTTTTTTCCCCATTACCACTTAGCCCCCTGATATGGCCCTCCCCACAATCACCACACTGTTGTCCGTGTCCGTGAGTGCACCTGGACTTCTGATCCTTGTCTACCAGGCAAGCTGCCAGGGGTGAAGTGGACAGGGATGATGGCATAGTGCAGGGCGCCCACCAGGACTGAAGGAGGCACCTCTGCCCGGCTCCGGCTTCTTTCTGTCACCAAGAAATGTGGACAACTGTTACTGGATCTTCTATTGTTAGGGGCGGGGGGTCCCCCAAGAGAAACTAAGACTCTGGACTCTGAGGTGACATTTCTAGATTTTTCAAAAGACTGGAAATGCAACAGAACACACCTATGGGCTGGATCTAGCCCTGTAAGTAATTTCCTATTGCTGCTGTAATGGGTTGCCTTGAACTTAGTGGCTTAAAGCCATACAGATTTATGATCTCACAGCGCTAGAGGTCAGAAGGCTAAATTGGATCACAATGGCTAACATCCAGATGCCGGGAGAACTGGGGAGGAATCCGTTTCCTTGCCTTTCACAGCCTCCGGAGGCTGCCCACTTTTGCAGCTCCCAGCCCCCCCACTCCTCCAGTGCCTAAGCCAGCAACATAGCATCTTCTCTTCTCTCTCTGGCTCTGACTCTCCCGCCTCCTTCTTTTACGTGTAAAGACTACATTGAGTCCACCAGGCAATCCCGGATAATGCCCCGTCCCAAAGCCTTTAACATAATCACAGCGGCAAAGTCCCTTTTGCCACGTAAGGTAGCATTTGCAGAGCCCGGGGATCAGGGCTTGGGCATTCGGGGATAGGGAGCATTCCCCTACCACGGGCCTAGCTGGCAGACATCTGGGTACTCATGTGTACTCACCGCAGTTCAACAGAGAATTTGCTTCTTGCAGTGGGTGTACCAGAAAGTCACAGGCACCAAGGAGGCCTGTGTCAGGCCAAGTACCTCTCGGAACCCTCCCTAGGGAGGCTTTAAACTTTGTGGCAAGGCACATCAGCATTAGGCAAGTCGACTCAATCCCCAAGAGGCCAGGCACTGGGTAAAGGTGACAAGGTTTAACCTCTGTCTGAGGATTAAAGGCAGCAACTGGCGCCACATGTCAAGGTGCTGTCTGGAGGTGGCTATCAGGGTGACTAGGCCAGGGCTAGTGTGATTGTCATAGCTGCCAAAAGTTTTGAGCAGTGCGTTCAGATAACCTGGTAGAGCCTCACCTGTTCAGATGCCCCACCGCCTGCTCACCTGCCCCCCTTTGGCCCTTTATTCTCACATTCACTGCAGGAATACCTCTTCCCGGTGGGTGAGGGAACCCATGGGTGCAGAACAAAGCCCTCCCTGCCCCTTCCTTCCCTGTCTCTCTACATATCCTACAGTTATCGCCTGTCCTAGGAACCCACCAGTGGAGGCTTATGTCAACACACCTGTTTTTAGGTCCCCCTCATAATTCGAACTTCACTACATCATGGATTTTGCCTGTACAGCGAACAGCACTGGCAGGTGGCTGACTAAGGTCAAGGCCCAAGAATCACATTAAGAAACCCGGTGGCTACATATGGGGTCTCCTGGATCATGCTGCTCCTCTTCTCTGCCTGTGCACAGAGATGCGGGTACAGCATTTTCCGGTGATAGTGAATAACTACAGCAGCGCAGCAACTATATTGGCAGCTGAATAGTCTGAACTTGCTCACTGGTCTCATTGTGTAGAATTCTCTATCATTTAGGGGTGCATTTGGCTGAGAGAACACCTTGCCAATGGTAGCTTAAACAGAGATTTGTGTCACTTAACCAGAAATCTAGAGTCCAGGGACTAGAGGATATTGGGGCAGTCTCTCCAAGATCCTCTTAGCCGTTGGTCCAGGCTAGTGACCTCATGGTCACACAAGAGCTGCTGTGTGGTCACCGCAACATCCTCGTTTAAACAGGAATGAGGAAGGGAGGAAAGACTCAGTCCTAGCAAACTTCCACTTATATCTAATTGACCAGACTCTGTGACACAGCTAGTCTAAGCTTCCAGGGGAACTGAGAATTGGAGTATCTTCCTTTCAGCTTCTGTACAAGAAGGAAAAGAAAAAAAATTGGAATTGGGTGTTGGATCAGTCAACCAACAGTACCTGCCAGAGATGTTACACTGAGATGTGCATTAAGGGGGTGGGGGTGTTACCATAGCTCACCCATCCTCTCGTTGGAGGTCCTTCAGATATGCTGTAGGAGGAAATGGAATCTGTTATTGCTGGTTCTCTGCATGATCCAGGGGTACGTTCTGCTTTGAACTATCAGTCTGGGGTTATCTTTCTACTGATCCACCAGATTTCAAGAGCAGCATCACAACACAGCTGTGAGGTGCAGCACGAGCAATGTTAACGCTCAATGTTAACTAAGGCACCAGCGTTGGCCAGTGTGCTTTCCTTGGCCCATTCCTATGATCATGTCCATCTCACTCATTGGCATTCTAGTGCACTTTCTTCAGCGGAAGAGATGGAATTACACCTGGAAGATGGGGAGTTAGTTATACCCAGTCCTCGGTCCTCAGGCATTATCTCTGCCTGCTTCAAGGCTCCTCTCTAGACGTGGACTCTGCCTGACTGTGATTCACCAGATGGTAGACACCAGTGTATGAACGGTCCAGAACCTTCTATGGTTCAGAACCTTCTATGGTGCTGCTGTGGGGACTGAGGTGCATCTCTGGGCCAACAGCCTAAAGAGGACTCTGCTTCTTTTTGTTTGTTTCTTCTCCTCCCACTGAACCCACACACGAAGGAACACCGAGCACATCACTGGGTAACTGCATTTCGTCTAATTCACCGACTTTCCGGGCCAAGGAGCTAGCGCTGCGACGAGATGCAAGCCCAGCTGTTATGCACTGTAGCTCGGAAGTGACTGGCAATGTGAGCGACTCAGTAGCCCCATTCCAGTCTCCCCGACAGGTCCAGCTGGGCTAGGAAGGGCTTCTTAGCTGGGTTTGCTACAAAGTAAATTACTGTTCCCATCACGTTTTTCTTTTTTGAAAGGGTTTAGAAATGAATGTGCATTTCGCTTTTCAAAGCAGTTTCTACCGGCATCAAAAATTCTGGTGCAGTTCAGTAGCACGTCGGGCAATCACGGTCCCACTAAGGAGAAGAATGTACGATCAAAACTATTGAACAGATGGTTTCAGCCATGGCACCCAGCAGCATGAGCTTCTTGCTCTAACTCATATATAATATTTCTGGGCATTCAGTTGTTCTCCTTGAAAACTATCATAACAATATATGCTTTTCTAGATCTTTCTACAGTAAAATACAGCACAGCTTGGCCACCACGTTTGACTGACCAAGAGTCTACACGTATTTCCTCCATTCGCATGAACTGCAACACCCTGACAGCAGTTTGTGATGTTTTTCACCCAGAGCTGGGAACACGTTTAGTAAGGAAACCAGCTGTCACTCATCATTTGACAGACTCAAATGAAAAGGGAATGCAATTGCACAGGGAACCAGATTTTACTTGGAAGCTGTTGCTTTAAAGTGATGGTGGGACCAGGGTTGCCAAGGATCCCAGGCTGCAAACCAAGGAACCGAGATCAGACCTGTTGGGGAAGACGGTTAGGAATGAGGAGGTGGGCAGCGTGTCCCAGCGATTGGGGCTCTGAAGAGTTCCGTCCACATGTGCTGCGTCGAAGCATGTACGTGGTCGATTATAAGGTCCCTGACCTGCTTTGCCTCTGACTGGAAACTGGGTTGACCTCACACTAAAAGCACCAAAGAAGCATAAAAGGGTCCAGAGTCATTTAAAAATAAATCCTAAAGGTAGACAGGAGAAACCTGTGGGGTTAATGTAACATAAAATTGGAGATCACTCCTCTAATTTGTGTCTTAAGTTGTTTGGTGAGGTTGGGTGTCCTTTTAAAGAAATTAATGTGTGAGTTACTTTTAACAACTGGGGGAGTGGGGTGTGGAGATGCTTTTCAAACACTTATACTTTTAGGGGGGAAATGCCAGGCATTAAAGTAGAATGAGTTCAGTTTGCGGCTGTAACAATGTGTAGTATACTTAGCAGACATCTTCTGCAGTCTGCAGAGACCAGAGGGAGCACGGTGTGGTGGGGAGGAGGTGCTAGGCCTTCTAAGGGTGATGGTGTTGGGTGTCATCCCCCCAGGAGGGAGGAGAGTGTGTGTGCAGATGAGGAGCCAAGAGAAATGTGTTGGAATCTCCAAAATATTGAATCTGGCTTGTGCTCGAGGTCGAGAGAGCGGGGCAGCGACCCCATCGCAGAGCCCTGGAGCTTAGATCAACCACTCGGACAAAAAGCAAATAGTCTAAACTAAACACAAATTCGTTTTCCAGCCAGTTAGGGTTTTCTACTCCTTTGAGGTCCCTGCTAAGCAGCAATGGTGGGTTCAGCTCTTGTCGGCTATCTGCAGTCTGTTACTTAGAGCCATTGTTTCTACTCGGTCAGGCGATCTCATGAAGAGTGAGACCTTAACTGCTGAAATAGCAAGGTCAGCTTTCCTCTGGGACGAGCGGAGTGTGGAAACCTCACTTAGGGTTCCTTTCAGTAAATGGTCTCTTACGGGTCATTCCCACCATGTGTGTTCGTGTGCGTGTGTGCGCACTCTGCTACCCGTGCAGACCTCTCCCGGTGGTCCACAGTCACCAACTGGTGACCCTGACCGGAAGTCGGGTGTGTTTTTGTCAGCGTGCCTGTCTGACCCAGTTCTGAGGCAGAATCGTTATTTTCAGATTGCGTCTCATCTGTTTTGTTCTCCTTGTCTCACATTGGAGATTAAGAAAAGGCAGTAGAATGTTTTACTAAGCCATATCGAAAAAGTCTGATGTTTCTTTTTTTAAAAAAATATATAAGCAACAAACTCGGTTAACTTTTAAAGTATATCCAGAATTCATAGCTTTTGGGTGGTTAAAAAATTATAATTTTGTAATGCCAGGCAGTGTTTTTGTTTTTCTGCATGACTACCGTGACTGGCCCAGGCACTTGAACGGTGCACTGGACACAGCACACAAAGACATGGAGACGAGCACCAGGAGGTCGGGGTTGCTGGTTCCCCTTTAATAGTTGCTTTTGTGCAGCTATGGGTTGGCAGGAGACGGTTAAGATGCATTTATGCATTCATTTGCCAGGAAGATAGTTTTTAAAGGACATTTTTGAAAAGTGGCCATGAAATGCTACGTTTGGTCATTAAGCATTTATATTTTCTTATGCCTTTTCTAATGAATGCATTTGAAATGGAAAAAAGTGAATGCTTAAATTTACATTTTTACCATAAATAAAATTCTTGTGTGTGGCTTAATCCTCTCAGTTTGCTTAATTGGCTATGTGGGGACCATGGCACGTGACTGATTCTTAGGATTAATCACAGAAGGGAAAGAAACATCATATTTCATGGTTTCTGAGACTTTTTTCCCACGTTTTAATTATCTCTGAAATCAGAATGCATTTTACAAAGTCCTAAAAACACTGACTCATATTTTAATTGACAAGGATATTTCTTTCTTATTGAGACATAAAATAGGGATAAATCCAGTAATTCATGGTACCTTAGAATCCATGAAATACAGTAATATTTCACCGAGTGCCCAGTAAGATTATCATATATTAGATTATAATATTAGAGTATTATTTCAAAAGAACTGATCATTTAGTTGGCATATAAGGCTATCTCTTTGGCAGTTTAAAATTTTGTAAACATAAACATTAAAGTTTTGTAGCTGTAAATAGGAATTTTTTAAAGCCTAGGAGATTTTATTCTCTCTGGAACAGATGTTCACCCCCATATATTTCAGAATGACTGCCAGTTCAATGTCTTCTGCTCTGCCCCTCTTTTGATATGCACTAGTATCGTCCTCAAAAGAGTTTTGAAGCTTTAGGAAAATATTTGTTTTTACATTGGTGAAAAAAGAAAATCATTAGATACACTCTTCGTTGCTGGCTTTGTGCCTGCCCGAGAATTACCCCGAGGGCCGTGCACCAGAAGGCTCTCACGGGGAGTCCACAGGCCACGGTTCCAACGCCTTACATAGTGCCCTCGTGGCTTCAAAGACACATGCGGTCTTCCCCAGGTACTAGGGACTCGGGGTTACATAGCCTGGACTTATAAATGGCCAAAGGGAACATTTTAGGCATTAAATGACATAGAAGTAAATTATAGAGATATTTATAGTCACAAGAAATGCTTGGTTTGTGTTCTTGACTTCAGTTTATCAACTACGTTACACTGAACATACTCTTTTTTTTGTTTGTTTTGTAGGTTGGATCTACGACATCACACAAAAATATGATTTTTCCTTCTATGTATGCGGCTTACTTTACCTGGTAGGAATATTGTTTTTACTCATTCAACCGTGTATTCAAATTATAGAGCAATCCAGGAAGAAGGCCATGGGCGGTGCCCATGTGTAGAGTCCCATTACGTTGCACGTGAGATTTCTTCGTGGTTCTCATGCCTACCTCACCTGGTCGCTGTGAGGGGCCGACAGCGAATCGTGGGAAAGTGCTTTGTACAGTAACCAGCACTGTCACTTGTAAAGCCGTTGTCATTGCTTCACTCGAGAGCAGCATTGCCTTCTTCCTCTTGGGGAGAAGCAATGCTGACTAATAGTGTTCAGGACGTCCCACGTTTTGAAGATGACAGTGTCCTCCAAAGACAGCCTAGTGATAATTGGTAGAAACGCCCTTATGAAAACTCTCCTCTCTCATCATCCGCTGGGGCTAGGGTGTTAGATACAGCTCTTCGAAACAAGGACAAGGAATAACAGATTTTCAGTTCAACCCTAGGCAGACCTCATTTTTTTGTGCTTCACTTGATTGCTCTTCATGGATGCTGTATTTCATACAAGTTGCAGGCAAAACCCTCAGCCAGCCAAAAGATGACAGCTCGCTTTACTGAGATCCTTGCTTTGCTGCAGTGGTCTGGAACTGAACTTGCGCTATCTCTGAGGTGTGCCTGTACTTTGTAAAGTGAAAGTCAAGTGTCCAAACACTTCTGGAAAGCTCACGGATAAATGGGTGTTAAGCACAAGAGTATGACTAAACCTCAGAAGTTAATTGTTACTGGGAGCTCTTGATCTCCCACTGTAAAATAAACACGGGCTCTGATTTCAAAGGTAATACACGTAGTACAATTAAAGAAAAAATTATATTTTTATGAAAGAATTCTGCAGCTAAGGAGTACAGTTTCTCAGTATTCCTCTAAGAAAAGCATTTGCCATCAACCCTGATTCAATAGTCTCCAGTGACACACAGAATCTTAAGACCCAACCTAAATAACAGTTTCCTTAGTGAAAGTTGTATTTGTCCTCACAGCAATCAAGGGCTATAATTCAAGCACTTTTATTCATGTCCTTGGCCTCTTCGTTTATGAGCACAATCCGGGGCCCATAAATTTTTTTTTCCCTGAGTTTCTCATGCCCGGTAAATAAAATAGAGAACTGATTGCAGGTCGACATGACGCTGGTGGTTAAATCATTTGTGAAGTGTGTTACAAATCCAGGACATAAGACTATGAGGTTGTGAGGGAAATGATGGAATGGCCTTGGCCTTGGCCTAGGCACCTGGCACCTGGCATTGGAGAAGGGTAGCAAACAGCCCCTGTCCCGGGCCCAAGCTCTGCACAGTTTTAAAAATAGTCTCTTGATCACAGAAGATAACTGTGATCAATGACATCAAATAATGCTCTTCCTTTATCTGAGATCTCTATTTTTCTAAGCCAAACATTTTTCAGACTGCAGAATGTCCTTCCCAGAATCATTTTGAAATTTCTGGCTGCCTTACTTGTTTACACATATTTTAGAACTGTTTAAATTTCTACTCACAATTCGCTCATCACCCACAAAACTCCTTTACCAGTGTCTTGGGTCAAATTTATCTCAAGTGAGTACAGACCATTCTGTTATCCTTGGTAGCTGGATGCAGGAATGGTACGAGTGATTAGAATCACAGAACGTTAGTTACCCCAGGCCTAATTTTAGCCAATGGGTTCAGTCTTGACTCCATAAAACCCTTGAGAGCTGTTAACAAGTGATTACATAGACATGTTTCCTTTTTGTCTCATCTTCCTTTTTTCCTGCCCCCATGCATAGTAGGTGGGGTTGTGTAATGAGAGGGACCCTGAAAATAACAGTAATAATAAAAGGCAGCTAATGGAAAAGAGAACAAGAGCATGGCTAATCTCCACACTCGATATTACCTCCCATGGTTTGAGAATCGCCTGCAAATGAGTACAGATAATAAACTGCATGGCACACTCCATTCGGTTCAACACAGTGACCCATCTGGTACCATCACAGCTTTGGCTGCTATTGAAGAGCCCAGCTCTCTATTTTGATAAAAGTAATCTTAAAGCCTAAGGCGATGTTCTATCCTTCTCTCTGTATTTACCATGAAATTAGGACGATAAGGTGGAAAAACATGTGTATTTTAAAACTGACTACAGGACTTCATTGCTTTCATCTTCTGACAACACCAAATTAACAAGAGGCAGTGTGCGAGATTCTGAATGGTGCTATCGCCAATGCTCGCACTGCTGGTTATGCAATCACCAACACCGACCTTCTATCCAAGGACCCGGCTTTAGTGTTAGGTCCAAGTTCAACATGCTCACGTTCAGCTTACGCAGTTGTTTGTTGACTGATTGTATTCACGGAAGTGGCGGTTTCTACATCAGAAGTTCCCATTTCACAAACATAGAGTAAAATCTGCCTGCAATATTCATGTCGACAACAGAATAAAAGAGAATGCTATAAAGAATTACAGCACACATATTAATAGTTCCTGTTTAAAATGTTATGACTCTGAAGATATTATAAAAGGTTCATTGTATATTTATGTTATGTGCTTTGTAGTTTTCCCCTCATGTATCCAAGTAATTTTTACTTACAACTAAATAAATTTTGTCCTGTTTGAATCCTGAAGTGTAACTGACGTTTATTCATGTGGTTCTTCCCCTGGCCGTTTCTCTTAGGTGTGGTCATAGGCCCAGCTGGAGAGAATCTCCAGGGTGTCAGAGTCCAGCTGTTCAATTCAAAAGGCACACACCTTTTCGCCTAACGATTGCATTTCTAAACCTTTTTCTTACACATGAACAAAGACAAATGAACAAGAATTTTTTTAATTTATTGCGTATTCTGTGAAAGACTGGGAATAATTTTATTGTCCATGAATAGGGAACTGTTAAATAAAATATAGCATTTATTTGACTTTTTTGAAAGGATAGATTCATATGTAACATTAGAAAACAATATCCAGAATATATGGCTGAAAGAAAAAAGAGAGAGAAAATATAGTTAATGTGCCCCTCCCCTTTCTGTTTTGTTAACAATGAGAAAAAGTTATTCATGTGGCCTCTGTATGGATAGAACATTTCTGGAAGGAAACACAAGAAAACATCTTTGGGGACTGGGGTGGGTTTGACTTTTTTTCCTTATGCACATGATGCTTTTTCTACTTAAAACTTGTATCTAAGGTTTTTTTAAAATGCAGATTCCTGGGGCAACTTAAAACCTAATGAATTGGAATCTTGGGGGATGAAGCCAATAGGCCTGCCTTTTAGATAAATTCATCAGTTGATTCTTAGGTTCACTAAGATCAGAGACCCGCATCAACATACTTAAGAGTAAAACATTCCCATCGAGGCCAAGTACTTGTCCTGTCCTCTTGCATTGATTATTTCCTTGTATACAGCATCCTGGTCAATCACTATCTTTGGAGCACTCCCAGTGAATAATATTGCTATTTGACTAGGTCTCTCTGCTTCCATGTTTCCTTTTCAATCAATGGGGACAAACCAGGCAGAACCTGCAAGGACGAGGCAGGCTGACGCAGTGCCTGCTCCCTCGCCAGCACGCAGGAGCGAGCCCCTGCTGCACAGCACTGACGGTGACAGTGAGACACCTAAACTCAGGGAAAGTCGACAGGCAACCTGTTTAGGTGAAACTGTCACCGATAATATAACAGATACAGAGAGGTTCAGGAAGATGGCTGAAGGACTATCATCAGTGTGTCTACTTGTCAACTGAAAGATAGGACTCCCAGTGCTAGACTCAAGGTCCCAAACTCTTGGGTCTCAGGTCCCTGTACTCCTAAAAACCAATGAAGACTCAAAGAGATGTCGTTTTTGTAGGTTGCATCTTATTGATATTTACCGTACTTTATTAGAAAGCAGAAATAAGAAATTTCTTAAAATATGTATTAATTTTAAAATAACACTGATGAGCCTACTATGTTAATATACATAAATTTCTATGGAAAATAACCACATTCTTCCTCCCCCCCCAAAATTAGTAAATATAGTGACATTGTCTTACATTTTTGCAAATTTCTTTTATCTCTGTCTTCATAGAAGACAGCTGGATGCTTTCTTCTGCATTCCTTCTGTTGTAATATGTGGTTTTGATTGACACATATGAAGAAAATGCAGCCTCATACTTATTAAATGTAGTTAGAAAGGGGTGGAATATTTTAATATTTTTTCAAATAATTGAGGGGGGCTGTTGATATCTCACCAGAACTCAACAAGTAGTATTTCTTCAAGATTATTTGCAGTATGGAATCTGATAGATCAATGAAATTTCTGTAAAATTACATTAAAAGCTGTTGATGTGTCTTGCAATTTGAATGGATCTTTGGCCTGTTTGATTTTACAATGCAAAGCTTTTGTCATTTGGGAAACATTGGTCCATTGAGCTTTAAGACCTTCCAGATGTTTTCATAGTTCATAAAATATTTTAAAACATCCTTTATTTCTGTGTGATTCCATTTATATTTATATAAATAAATATATTTGGACATTCAGAACATTCAGAATAGGCAAATCCATAGAGACAGAATGTGGACTCGTGGTTGCCAGGAGCTGGGGGAAGAGGGGAGTGGGGAGTGACTGCTAATGGCACGGGACGTCTTTCTGGGGTGACGAAAATGATCGGGAGCTAGATAATGGTGGTGGTCACACAAATTTGGGAATATATAAAAACCACTTTTAAAGGATAAGTTTTATGGTACGTGAGTTATATCTCAATTGGGAAGTGGACAAGCTCATGGAGGGTGATAGAAGCTTTCTGAAATTCTAATTTCCTTTTGAAAGGTTAAATATATTATCATTGGCAACAAATGCTGCAGTTGTTTTCTTTGAAGTGCGTCTGCTGAACAAAGACGAATGTGGCATTTCAAGAAGAGAGCAGTAGCTCAGTCTGCCCCTCGGGGACACGCGTGCTCTGTGCACAGGAGAGCTGCGTGTGTAGGTGCTTCCCCTTTGTCACACGGAATACTAAAAAGATGTGGATTTGGGTAAAGACTGAATAAAGGTGATGATTTCCACTGTGTCATCAAGGATACCGGTAAGTGAATCAGGCAGTAACTTGACCGCAAGCACAGGACAGTGAAATACACAAAAACTCTGGCACACGTTGGTGTCGCTGCTTTGACTCCCACCAACGCACCAGCAGTTAGACCCCGCATGGCTTGTGCAGCCCTGAGAGTGAATAATGTCACACAGTACATTGACTGTTCCGTGCCCTCACACGGGAGATTTTTGCCAGGTTGATGTGATACCGGATGAACACAAGCAAACCGGCGAATCCAGACACATCTGTTGATCTGTCCACGTGTGAGACAAAAGTGAAGCTGTGCAGACACGTTGGTGTTCCCTCAGCCTTCATGTTTGCAGCTCCGTCTTTACTTTGACAAGACACTGAGTCATCAGAAAGCGGTTCGTCTGTGGTTTCCTTGGCTGAGTCTCCACCCAGCACGCATTCGGCAACGTCAGCTGTACCAGCCTGTGTGTCTTCATCCGGGCGCTTCATGCGCTTACCCCGCAGGGCACTGCAAACGCTTCTGCACTGCCCGCTTGAAAAGCTGTAACGATCCATGGTTAGCACTTAACGAACCATCACATCTACATTTAAAGCATTGCATTCCTTCTTCTTTAAACTCTGAGTGATTACTCTCAAAGTGATGCCACAACTTAAGAGATACAAAAAAAGGTAAACATTTTTCATAAAGTCAAGGAAAAGATACCTTTGGAATCATGTTTTGTTTCAGATTTACACTTTTTTTAAGGAGATTTCCATGCCATCTTTTTCAGCAGTTTAGGCTTAGATGGGGTGAGCCTTAGACAGACAGCTGTGGGGTAAGAAAGCAAGATTTCTGATCTCCCTTTTGGAAGCTTAGGACCCCCTCTCGAATAGAACAATGAACGGAGTGCGGCTTATGATGTGAGCCGCTGGTCTCCAAGGTCAAAATGCTCACAGGACAGTGAGGTGGGGGGACGATGCTGACCCTGAATTGAGACAACAGCAGCAGCAGCAGCAGCGTTTGTCGTCCAGGCGAGGGGAACTGAGCCGTGGTGGAGAGCAGAGACCACGGGCAACGCACTCAGGGTGGGCTGACGATGAGAAGCAGAGAGGGCCTCCGACGGGCAGTGGGGAGCCTCCTCTATGGTGGGGGGGCACAGCAGTGGAGGAAAGTGGCAGGAGGAAGAGAGGACTGAGTCGGGAAAGTGCCAGTGAGCCGTATTCAACTCCCTATTCAATTCTTCACTTAGTTTTTCCTAAGACTGTGGGAGCATCTTGAAGAATTCACTCCTTCCTTATTATTTAAATGAACTTAAGACAATTTTCAGGAAAATTGGACACTAATTTAGTTCACTAAAAGCTTGCAATGTTCTCTGGACAACTAAATTCAAGTGGTCTCTTATATTACGCCCAGGTGCTCCTCCTTATAATTTCGCACGTGACCTGGGGCAAACCCTATCGCCTTTCCAAGTTCCACTGGTCAGACGTGGGGCTGGCTCTGAAAGGAGACGAGGCGCCTTTGTGGTTCAGAACAGAGCCATCATGGCTACCAGTTTGAATCTCAGCTTCACCACTCACTGGTTCTGACACCTTGAGAAGGCTAAGTTGTCCCTCTCTGAGAGTAATTTAGGCTTTGCAGGCCGTACAATCCATACTGTGAATCTGTCATTGTGTGCAAGTGATCATAGATAATACATCAACTGTGGCCCAGTAAAACTTGATACGCAGAGCCCTGGCTGGTGTGGCTCAAACCACACCATGGTTTGGATTGAGTACCAGCCTGTGAACTGAAAGGTTGTAGGTTCAATTCCTGGTCAGGGAACATACCTGTGTTGGGGGCCAGGTCCCCAGTTGGGGGTGTGCAAGAGGCAGCCGATTGATGTTTCTCTGCCTCTCTTTCTCCCTCCCTTCCCCTCTCTCTAGAAATAAATAAATAAAACCTTTAGGGGGAAAAGAGGGATAACTGTAATTGAACAATAAAAAATTTTTTTTAAACTTTATACACAGAAACAGGTGGCCGGTCAGATTAGGCCTATGCCATAGTTTATAAACCTCTCATCTGCAAGACAGAAATAGCATCACTTACCCTCAGGGGTTGCTGTGAGAATTAAATTGCTTACTACCTGTTTCTTTTCCTGGTGCGCAGTATACAGTAAATGGGAGCTGCTATTACTGTTATTTCTCGGGGTAGTCCAGAGAGTCTGCGGCCGTGGGTCTATGGCCCTGAGACTTTCTGGGTGGGCAGAACAGATTTCCCAGTCGAAAACAACTGCTCTGTATGGGAACCTGTGTTTAAGAGAACGCAATAAGCAGGATAAAGGGAATCCTCTGGAGCTCCCGTCCTGAGGGTTTCAGGTCCCCAGTGTGGGGACGATGTCCTTTCAAGACAATGAACAGGGGAAACTAAGATAATAATTGTACTTTGTAAAATGACAAGATATACCGCTGTGCCTTTGACTGCAGGTACACAATTTTCTTCAGCGTGGTGGCACCTTGTCTACGTAACATCTTGACATCCAGTCAAAGACAACCACTTTAAGGTGAAACCAGCTGTTCAGATTTGAAAAGCCTGGACACCCCCCTCACTGTATTATCTTAACACAAACTGCAGATTAAGGTCATTATACTAAAGTTCAGATCAAAAGACTGGGCTGCACCCATGCTTTATGTATACCTAATTCTTCGGCACCCTGGGAGTCTGGGTAATGAGACTCCCAGTCTCATGAATGAGAGCTAACAACCAACCGTCCTGCACTCAGGCAGCGGGAAAACAGTGACCAGTGGTGACTAGTCGTCCGTCTCTGCCTGTTTCCCGCCCCTCTCCCAAATCCTGATCTCTGTCAGACTCTCGGTCCGACCCAGTAAAAGACGACACGTTGCACTGCACACGCCTGAGGGCTAATGCGCACACTATGCCAGTCTGCTCGGGGCAAAAGCAGTAACAGAAGTTAAAATAGAAGGTAAAATATATTTATTTTTTTTTTAGTTATAAACTCTCACATTTGCTACTGTTAATAAATGGTTCTAACTTGAAAACATAGAAAACGTCAGAAAATAGAAATATGTCGTTTTTATAGTTACAATGGTAAATAGTAACCGAAGAAACACTGTGGGCCTGGAAAGACGAGGGAAGGCAAGAGGACACAGTGTGGTACTTCCCCCTGAAATGCTGAGTCGGGCGCAAGGCAGGCGTCTCCATCTACGCGAACGCTGCCCGCAGAGGCAGGGAGGCAACGCCTCGCCACCCAGGAAACCAGGCAGGGGGAGGGGACAACATGTTCTGACGCTGGAGGCTGCTGGCGCTATGCAGTAGGGTTTTAGGTGGGTGATAAGCGTTCATGTTTGGGCCAGAATGATCAGAGTCAGGTAATATGGCACCCAAGTCATTAGGACAAATGCTTACACTTTCATAATCTGACAGCCTACATGACTTTAACTATTACTTAACAATAGTCAGAAGGGTTTTCAGGAACAACTATAGAGGACACATGGACAAAACCAAGGTGGGGGTGGAAGCAAGGGAGGGAGGCGGGGATGGCTGTGGGCGGGGTGGGGAGAAATGAGGGGTGGGTAAATGCAGACAACTATACTTGCACAACGATAAAATAATTAAAGTAAAAATTAAAACAACAGTCAACATATTGATAACCCATTTTCATTGTCATTTACCTTTATTATCTATCCATACTAAAAGCTCTTAAATGGCCATATCTGTGTTCTCACTAGTTCTTGTTGATTCTAGGTGAGTAAGTGTGCCCGTAAGCTTTCAGAATCTGTGAGATGATAAAACACAGCGCATGCAACTGGGACGCTGTTGGCACTTTGCACGGACGTTACAAGTGACGGGTGGTTTTATGTTATACAGTTATGTTGACGTACCAAGTTGCGCATCCACGCAACTGCTGGATTAACCTGCGTCCATCACTGAACACCTGGCCCGGAGTGAAGTCGGGAACTTCAGGGACAAACGGGCAGCAGGAGCCGTGCAGAGAAGCAGGGCCCTCAGCCCGCCTGCCAGTCTCACCCTGCGCCTGGCAGGAGGACTCTCACACCGGGAACTCGGCCCGGGTCTGCTGTCAATGAGCTCTTTGTTCCGTGCTTGGACTGAATACAGACACAACTTTGACAGGCTCCTTCCTTACAAGGAAGCAGCCTACATTTGATGTCACAGATGTCCCTGGAAGTCTAAGACCAGGTGTTAGCGTGCGTGAATGGGGCCGGTTTGATGTGAGCACGGGTTCAGTAAAGAAGAAAACAGTCTGTCACGGAGCCACGGCTATGGCACTGTCCTGGAAGAACTTAGGGAGGAGGGCAGCCAGAGTCCACCTCCTCTGCACCAGGGGGGCGGTCCCACTGCACCACTGGAGTCTCTCTGGCATGGGGGGCGGGGCGGGTATGTCGCTCTTTTCTAGGAAGCGAAATGAAGGAAAGAAGGAAAGAAGGGCTGAGAAGGCGAACAAGGTGATGGGAGGGGGAGAGCTGCTTTGCTCTCTGGCCCGAGAGGAGTTATTAGTTATTACCCGCGGCTGTGACCTCGTTGTGTGGGGGACCCCACCATCCAGACAGTGAAGGAAGAAAACCATTTTCAAATAACCCATCTCAAAGGTGTAGGCTTTCCTCCCCCAAAACTCTACTCTTTCCACCCTTCGGCCAAGTTAACAGAGCACAAACCATACTTAGGTTTTTACTCACTTACCCAGAGCCTGTGTTCTTAAAACCCCAGTTACGAAAGTGGTAACCGTTCACTTTCCTTTGGGAAACAAGTCCCTCTAAGAACATTTACAGGTTTCCTTGGCGATGTGCAGTCCCGAGAGGGTGAGCCCGACCCGGTGTCCAGCCATGCCCCAGGGCCAGGACAGAGCTGTCTCCACGGGGCAGGGTGACACCTGGCATCCCAGGTCATCCCAGGATGACACCTGGCACCCCAGGCGGGGCCCTGAATGCACACTCAGAGGGGCAGAGTGGGGAAGGCGGCTGCGCTCACTGGGATGCCTCCCGAGGCCACTGCCCCTCACGGTTCCCTGTGGACACACGTGGCCACCGGCTCCATGGATGGATTCAGATGACCAGGAAAAGAATTCAAAAGCTCGGTTCCCTTTTCCAACACCTAGATAGAATAGGTATGTAATAGAAGCCTACTGATAGTCATTTATTGTTTGCTTCTATACAGCAGAAGCCTCTTTTCCTGTGCCTGTGGAGGGGGCGGTGGGGAAGACATCAAGGGTGGGGCTTCCTGCCCTGCAGTCCAAGGGGAGTGGGGGTGTGATTCGACCAATCCGCCACTGGGCTCAGGCAAGGCCCTGCAAAGCTGGCTTTGCTGCACCTGTGCGCACATACTCTGTGCTTTTCAGATGGTTCCTTAAACCAGCAACACCTCTTAGTCCTTGATGGGACAGAAAAGATTTGGACACGGCAGAAAAACACAACCGTGCCTCAATGCCCCCGCAGGAAAACGACGTCTCCCTAATACTGACTGCTGTCCTGTCTCTCTTGTCTTTGTCTCCTCCTGCGGATCTGTAGCCGGAGCTGCAGCTTGTTGGTGAAGAACACCTTTCTCCAGCCGATCTCCTCGGCCAGGGCCCTCATGTCAGGAGTGATGTTGTCACAGGCGGATTGAACTATCAGCTTCCACAGCTCGTCAGACTTGCACAGCTGTGGGTGGGAAAGTCAGAAGCGGGTTCTGTCACATGTGGGCTGAGTGAAAGTCATGAGCTCACTCCCAAGACCCCTACCCACGTCCTGCTGCCTGTACACACTGCAGGGAACACTGCGTGTGCAAGAAGGTGTGCCAGACGTACTTCCTGCCTCCAGGAAAGAGGCAAGTGCACAAGTATCTGAGGGACAAAACGCAGCCCTGGAAGGCTAGTTTGGTTGGTTAGAGCATTGTCCTGATACACCAAGGTTGCGAGTTCAGTCCCTGGTCGGGACACATACAAGAAGCAACCAGTGAATGCACAAATAAGTGGAACAACAAATCAATGGGTTTTTTCCCCTCTCTCTTCCTCTCTCTCTCTCTAAAACCAATAAACTTACTTTAAAAATGAAGTAAAATGAAGGACAAAGCAATATTTGATTAACGGAATAAATCCTGATTTCATTCAAGATGCAGAATGAAAGATAGTTATATATAGGTCATGTGCAACATTATTTAGTTAATTTCCAATTAGCCACACAGCAGAGGCTGAGAATGTGTGTGTGCTCGATTGATCTTGTACCCGGTGCTGCATTAGCGACTCCTGTGGAGGCAGCTAATTCCCGCTGAATTTGCATTCGTTTCAAAGCCTCGCTCAGGCCGTCTCTTCCCTGGGCTTGTACAACTCATAGCTCAGTCCACTGCAGGCTACTCAGCGCTGAACTGCAATACAACGACCCAGCAGCCCCCAGAGACTGCCAGTGGGCGCGTGGAAAATCCACCCTTTCCTGGTGCCGCAAGTTTTGCTCCAAGTCCTTGGCCCATGTGACACCGCACCATGCCCCGGAGTGGCCCACGAGATTCCGTCCACTCCCCAAGCCCACCTGGCACCTGGCAAAGTGAGCTGCTCCCTGGGAACGGCCTTCTCTGAGATGCCCTTCTGCATTCTGAGACCGGAACCAGGCGCCAATGAGGTTGAGGACAGGCAAGACCCCTCTGGCCCAATAGCTGCACAAGGCCATTCTGTCCTCCCTCCAAGGTCAAATCTGCCACAATTCAGCTCCCATTTACCCCAGATGTGCTGATGTGACTTTTTCAGGTGGCATCATCACGTACGGCAGCTACTCTCCTCAGTCCCCTGCTACTAAACACTATGGAAAAAGAGGTTTCCCGACACCCAATCCTTCCTGAAGACAAAGCTTCTGTTACATTTCTCTGGTAGCCCCGCCCTTAGCGACGGCCCTGGTGTTGTGGTGTACGAAAACCGTGCACCATTTAAAGGTGCCTGAGTGTTCGCTGCTGCAGAGCGGTGGTGACTCCAGCAACGCAAAACCGAGCTGTAAGGAGGGCTCCACCTGGGCCTCGGCGACAGGCACTTCCTGCCCCACCCTTCCTGTGCCCACAAGGCGCTGGGGCAGTCAGACACCAGCCCGATTGCCTCCTTCCGTCGCTGCTATACAGTGGTTGGCGTGTGAAATCCCAGCAGTGGGAAGAGCTCGGCCTGGTGGAGGATCGGTGAGGAGCCCCCGGCCCCCACGGATCAGCGGTCCAGCGCACGCTGGCCCGGGCCCCTCCTCTCTGCACACGGGCCCATCCGTGGGAGCTGCCACCAAGGCTTCTCTGACAAGGAGGCAAAGAAAGGCATGAAGCGAGGGGCCCCTCAGAGGTCCACACTGGTGGGAAACCAGATTATCTGTGGACGTGGCCAGTAGAGATCAGGTGCCGATGCATAGTAAAGAGAGTTGACCTGACTGATGAGATAAAAACAGACTGGACTCAGCATTTTCACCGTTTAAAGTTCCTTTTTAGGGGGCGACCTGCCCGATTTCAGAGCAGAGGCAGACGGGCATGGTGGAATCCCTGGGCTCCCAGAACACTGCATCTGATCGCGCCCTGTTTCCAAAGCTGTCAGTTTGCAGGGTCTGAACCTCTAGACACACGGGCACGTGACGACAAGGAGGGAAAAGGCTCCCGGACAGCCCAAAGGGCTGTCGGGAACAATGGGCTGACACCCCTGCCCTTCACTCTGTAGGAAGGGCCTTCACTCACGGCCTCATCCTCCCTCCTTCCCTCGGAATCGGTTTTAGTTCGGCGTGTGCTGCTGTAGCCCTTGGCCGCTCAGCCACAGCTACTTGGAAGGGTGGCTGACACTGAGGCAGAAGAGTGAGGGCAGAGAAAAATGACACGTGAAAACTAACAGTAAGGGGGGAAAAATGTAAAAGAAGAGTGAAATACAAACTAAAATTACTCCAGTTGGGGCCAGATAAGCTGCTTCACAGCTTCCCGTAGACCATCCATCCACCCACCCATCCCAGCGGCACGCCATGTCTGCGGTGCCGGTCAGGGCTCTTGGCCCCAGACCACAGAAGGTAACCGAGGCTGTTTAAGCAGAAGGGGAGTCAGCAGAGGCAACAGGTTGCTCCCAGAATATCTGGTAAAACCAGAGGGAACAAATTCAATGCTATAGAAGAAAGAACAGCAGCAGCCAGAATAAAAACAAAACAACAACGAGAAAAATAAGCCACCCAGACTGTTCCGCAGAAATCGCACTGCTTCTGCTCCCCAGCGCTCGGCAGGGAGGACGCGATGAAGCCTCGCACCAGACACTGGAGCCTTCCCCGTGAGCCTCCAGGACCGTGCTTGTAGGAGGACCTGGCCCTGTGTGCGGACCTGGCCCTGTGCGCTGGAGGCTGCCTCACCTGGCTCCTGTGTCCCTGTCCAGACCCTCTCTTCCAAGTGGGTAGGTCTGCCTGACCGAGGCCGTTCTTACCTTTCCGACCTCTACAGTACACAGAGGCAACTCCCTCTAGCACTAGGGGTTCACGTGGGCACTGCGCGAACCAATCCACAGCATCCTCTGGGTCTGACCCGGCCATTCTCCCCTACACAGACCCTTCCTCTGCCCTGCTCAGCTCCCCTGGACCCTAACCGCTTCATGGGGAGGGGGAAACACGTGCTAAGCATTATCTCTATCTCATGACTCCATTCCACTCGTTTCCGAGGAGAAAGCAGCCAGTACTCTCTACTTTCAGATTTCATGCTGCTGTAAAAGTACTCTGATAAAGGGGAAAACATGATGTACAAACAGAAATGAATCGTATAACAAAGCGTGATCACTTAAGACTCTTTCTGCATGAACCTCAGAGCAAACGCTATTGTGGTCGCATGAAGGTTCCTGTCAACCAGCAACACTGACTCTTAGGAGAGTGACAGTCCCCGAAACACCTCGATGTCAGGCAGTTGCTCATTGTCTCACCCCATCTTCCCCAGTCCCTCAAGGCCTAGTTTCTCTATTCAGATTACAGCATAGTCTTCTAAATATAAACAACAAAGGCAAAAGTTAGAACATGGCTTAATATTAAAAACCCAAGCAAATATGAGCATCCTTTAAAAGATTTAAACTCTAACAATATTGTAGATAAGTATCTCATTTCCAGTAAATACACTTCAGGATATCAGTGTGCTTTATGTAATGAGATTATGGGAGAAAACGATGGGGTTTTGGGGAAGGGAGAGAATTCTCAAGACAGCTACAATTTCCACCAGTGTAACTTCATTTATGACTCATTTTATACTGAAAACACTTACGGTTTTGTTTTATATTACAAGTTGGCCATAAAATACCCTCATCTAAGACTCCCAAACCCTGGGCTTTTTTGCCGGGTAGATGCCAGGTTGCAAAACACAAAGTACCCATCCCGCCCATGGTTCCAGTCACTTTGATTCCAAACACAGCAAAATGTGGGCTTTTACCACCCCCTGGTGGTGGTGCATGAACTTAACATACACAATCTACGGTAAAGGGTGAAAGGAATCCTAGGCCTTATCTAGTTAAAAGCTCTTTTTGCAAAGGAGGAAAATAAAGACTCAGAGAGGAGAAGGGTGCAGCTGCCCAAGGCTCATGGTGGACAGCGGCTGAGCGAAGAACAGAACCCAGCTCTCTGGCCACCTGCTGCTCGAAACACCTGTTGGCCTGGTCACAACAAAGATGGGAAAATCCCTCTCCTCACCCCAAGTTTCTAGCCTTTTATAGAATCTCTCAAAATATTTTATCTGTACAATTCCAACATCAATGGGCCAAATTCTTGGGCCGGCCTCTAAGAACTGAGCTGCTGTAAACACAAGAAAACACGTTCAGAACGCAGAGGCTGGGTCCACGTCAGCCCCCCAGGGTCAGACCCTTCGGGCTGGGCCTGGCATCGCCCGTCTCACCCGCTCCCTGGGGCTCCATCTGCCTGGCCGGGCTTGGGAGCCACGGGCTAGGGGCATGCGGAAACGTCCGTTTCTCCAGAGCCAAAACGTGGCAGAGGAGAGAGCTTCCTCCTCAGCGTTCCTGAGTCACGACCACGATGAACCTGTTCACGGGCTCGTCGTGACCAGCCCTCCCTCCCGTGCCTCAGCCTCAGCCTTCTCCTCGGGCTGCAGCGGGGGTTTCTCCGGGTCTGCTCTGCCGCTGTTTGCAGAAGGGGCATGGCGCCCGTGCCTGCTGCTACCTGGAGCCAGCCCGCAGGCCCTCGGGCAGGTTCCCACAGGCAGCATCGGCGTGGTGAGCTCACCGCCAGCCCAGGCTTCACCTCTCAGGTGTGCTCCTGTTGGCCACGCTCCCAGAGGCTGCCTCTTCCGTGGTTGACCCCGAGAACCATAAACAGCCAGCCCACTGGACCTTCCCCAGGGAGGCTGTGGCCTGGTCAACACAGAATCAGAGCGAGGGGAGCAAGGGCAGGCCGCAGGACGGTCCTGATGGCCAGTGGCATCCTGTCTGATAGGCAGAAACTTCCATCCTCCGCATGGGACGGCACCATGCGTGGGCTCCCCCAGGCCCGAGTCCACACACGGTCTCCGTGGGTCTTTACGCTCCCAAAAAGCAGACCTTTTACTGTGGAGTCAGGTCTGGCCTTGGAAACCTTTCTGTCTCACAAAGGTGACCTTGTAGCTCTCACTCTCAACAGGATCTATTAAAACACACCTGACCACTAAGGAGGACGGAAACTGGCTTTGGAGCACCAGTGAGGCAGGGAGAGTATTTTCAAGGCTGCACTGGAAGAGTGGCAAGGCAGCGAGAGGGAGAGGGAGAGTGGACGCAGGCAACGCTTGGACGGAAGGCAGCTGCTTGATGTAAGGCACAGATTCCACGAGACACGGCCGAAACCGCCGTTTCCTACTGAATCCTTCCGTGGACTTTCAGGAGCATCCCAGGCCCTGGCAGAAGCTCTTAATGGACCTCCACTAGAATCTTTTATTTACTTAAAGTTCTCCTCACTGAAAGTATGAATAATCGGCTTCTTATCAGCAATAAGGACAAAAATCTTGACTTTAATAAACGGACTATGTGTGTGTGTGTGTGTGTGTGTATTGATTGCTCATAATACTTGTTTCTAGCCCTCCTTTTTGGGGGTGGGGGTGCAGGGAGGAAGTCAACTTACAAACGAGCTGAAAGGGCAGCGACCAAGGCACCTTCCAGGATCAGGAGAGGAACTAATCATGCTCGCATCGAGGCCCTGACATCGAGTGGAATCAGTGCCAGCGGTGCTTTCTGCCCGTCGTCGGCCTGCTGAGGATTCCGAGTAGCGAGAGTGAGTCCGTTTAGCCAGCCTGGGGTGTGGAGGAGGACTGGGCACTACCAGTACGTCCCCCAGAACCACCCATTCTGGGAGGTAAGTAATTCGGCAAAGGGCTCTTACTGAAAAAAGGAAAGTGGGTGGGGGGCAGTCACCACTTGCCTTCTTCTCTTGTGCTGCCATGCCCCTGCCTCCGCTGGCACCTTAACTTGGGACACCCCTTGATCTGGAACACCTCTAGTCTGCTAGACCACCTGGCGAACTCCTATTTCCCCCTCAAAACCCAGATGCAGTAGCCCGCTTCAGTGAAGGCAGGCGGAGGAAAGCACTTGGTACTGCCTATGTATCTTGAACACACATCCCTTGTTGAATTGATTCCACTACGTTGTAATAATCTGCCTCTGTATGGGTCTCTCCTACTAAACTGTGAGTTTCTTGAGCGCAGAAATAACACCTGCACATCTCTGCTGCCTCCATGCCTACAACAGTGCCTGTCATAAAGTAGGTATTCAACACATGCTTGCTGAGATCCATGTAAAGGATAAATGCTATTTAAAAAGAAGAAGAAGAACAAGAAGCAGCCCTGGCTGATGTAGCTCAGTGGATTGAGCATGGGCTGCGAACCAAAGTGTCGCAGGTTCGATTCCCAGTCAGGGCACATGCCTGGGTTGCAGGCCACGGCCCCCAGCAACCATACATTGATGTTTCTCTCTCTCTCTCTCTCTTTCTCCCTCCCTTCCCTCTCTAAAAAATAAATAAATAAAATCTTAAAAAAAAAAGACTTAAGGAGATTCCATGAAAATTTTTTTAAAAAAAAAAAAAGAAAGAAAAAAAACAACTTTGAGAAAGCACAAAGGAAAATTCTCTATGGACATGAAATGTTTGACTGTTACCTTTAAAAATCTGTGTGATGTTTGCGAAAGGTTGGCAATATCTTCAAGATCCAGATAAGAAATTATATTCAGGAGCAAATTGTCTGAGAGCCGCTCCAGGAAGTCAAATTTACCTTCGCACAAATTGAAGACATAGTCCAACGTTTTTCCACCAAATATTAAGGCAATTTGAACTGCAATTCAAAGAAACCAACACGATTGTTGTGCATTATCACAAAGACACAAGCTCTGGGGCACCTTTCTCCCCCTCCCCCCCAAACCCCCTGCCAGATTACGCCCAGTCACCCCCACTTTCACCCCGCTGCCTGCGGGCCCAGGGCATGCATGTGTGAGGCAAATATTTCCGATCGCCATCCCTGCCCTGAGACCGGACCTGTTAGGGACACTCAGCGTTTAGTTGAGCACAGTGATGGGCTGCATCCCCTTGACCTCGTCAGCACCGAATTCCAGTCCAGACCACTGACTTGACCAGTCTCAGCTGCAGCAGCAGCATGACCACCCTCTCAGCCTCCCAGGCCCAGCGCAGATGCTGCCTCAGGAGGGTGTTATGCCGCACAACCCCCGCCCCCCAGACTGGTCTGAAACACGCATCTCTTAAGTTTATTTCATTCTTGTTCTCCTATTGTTATATGTAGTTTCTCCACCAAACTTCCTTGCTTCCCCTTTACCTTCTGTTTATGCTTATCTTTACATAATAGAAAAAAACAAGAGAGGCAAAGAGAAAAACAGATGAATATTTCATGAAATGTGTGTTAACTTTTGCCTAATAGTTTTCATACCTACTTTGTTATTTCCAAATTAGGAGAAGGTTCACAAAGAATCAACCAACGTAATCATCCACCTCACATGTTCAATAGAGGGGGAGATGAGGGTTGGTTTGGTTTTTTACCCCAGCTCCCTGCATAACCAAGAAATGGCTGACAATCAGTAGATGAGGGGATAAAAGAGATGTGGTATATTTACATAACGAAATACTACACAGCTGTAAAAAAAGAAGGAAATCTTACCTTTTGTGACAGCATAGGTGGACCTGGAGATTATTATGCTAAGTGAAATAAGCCAGTCAGACAAAGACAAATACTACATGATCTCACTGATATGTGGAATCTAATGAACAAAAATAAACTGACAAACAAAATAGAAACAGAGGCAGGGACCCATGGAACAGACTGACAGTTGTCAGAGAGGGTGGGGGAGGGGGACTGGATAAAAGAAGGGGAAGGGATTAGCCAAAGGACATACATGAATGACCCACAGACACTAAACAGTGTGGTGACAGCCAGAAGGATGCGGGAGAGAGGCTGGTTGGAGTTGGACCAGGGGGCGGGAAATGCGGACATCTGTAATAGTGTCAACAGTAAAAATAGTTACAAAAATAAAAAAGTAAAATAATTTTTAAAAATTTTTCCAAACAGTACTTATCAGCTACTTTTGAATGCTAAAACATTTGCATAATTCTCATGTTTGTTAATTCATTTATATTATGGTAATTCATCATTGACTTAAAGAAAAGTGTCTCTGGCTCTAATAAATAGGAAAACATATCTGGAAGGATACATTTTCAAATTTTAACAGTAGTTGAAGCTGGGTGGTGACTTTTTTTTTTTTTTTTTGGCTTAAAGTTTCTCTTTCCTAATCTTTCTACTGACAAGAAAAAAAAAGCCCTGGCTGGCATAGCTCAGTGGATTGGGCACGGGCTGCGAACCAAAGCATCACAGGTTCGATTCCCAGCCAGGGTACATACCTGGGTTGCAAGCCATGACCCCCAGCAACCACACACTGGTGTTTCTCTCTCTCTCTATTTCCCTCCCTTCCCTCTCTAAAAATAAATAAGTAAAATTTAAAAAAAAACAACTCTCACGTGTCCTAAGTTAAATTGCAGCAGCCAGAGCAGACGGTGGCAGGAAGAGACAAGAGAGGTCAACCAGTTAACAACTGCAGGGCGAAGCCAGCAGAACCCTGCTTCCACTCCCGAGTGTCTGCTGCAACACTGAACGGACTTCCAGGGGCCGTTTCAGAGATTCTCTAGAGAGAACAGCTGACCACTCGGGGCCACAGCATCCTGCTCACACATTACCTTTCCAGGCTGTTGCTCACACCCGCGTGAAAGAGCCGACACGTCTTCCTTACGAACTCCGCACCTCTCCCCAGGCTTGCCCCGCTCACCTTCTCCCGCACCTGGACCCACGGCCAACGGGAATTCTTCCCAAACCACATACATACAGCACTCTTCCCCAAATCTGCAGGCAAGTCCAGGAGGCACAGTTGCCTTCTGAGGGTTTGGGCCGCACGCCTAAGGGCCTGGTCCTGTTTCCGGCCCACACAAGGCTCAATAAACCCTTTTCTTTAGAAAAGCTTACAGCCAGTGCAGGTTTTCGTTTACCACTGTAATAAACCCATATTACCCTGTGTCACTTTTTTTTTTTTAACCTAGGAAGGGAGAGAGGGCAGGAGGGAGAAGGGAGAAAGAAATATAATTTCCAAAAGAGTTGCTCTGTGGTCAGTTGGAGATTGGTTCACAACTGAACAAAATAGAGAACTCGGTTTAAGGTGGCTTAGCAAATGGGATTTTTCTTGTTTTCCGCACACAACTGGATTCTGAAGGTAGACTGTGAGGACTGGCGCAGGAGCTCCATCATGTCATCAATGTCCAGGGTCCTTCGATCTTTCTGCTCCACATTCTAGGAGCAGGCTGTCAGCCCCAGGGCCTCAAGGCATCCACTGCGGCGCAGCAGGCAATGGGGGCAGGGCAGGGCGCACGACTGTGCGTGGAAGCTGGGCATGTCCCTGCCTGGAGTCGCCTCCTGAGAAGCCCTATGAAAGAGCTCAGTTCACATCTCACAGAGCGAAACCAGGTCACACAGCCACATCTGCAAGGCAGGGGGAAACGCAATCTCTGTCTGAAGGGGGGGAAATGGGATCAAGGAGACAAAAAGAAAAGAGAAAATGGGGGCCAAAGAAAAAAAGCAGAGAAAAAGTTTACGATACGATGAATGCACAGAATTAGATGATAGAAATCACAGGCACGGTAGTAATCATAATCAGCGTAAAGGGACCAACCGTGCCAGGGAGGAGACTCAGACACACAGCACATGCACACACACGCAAATGATCCTGCCTGTGTGCTATTTATAACAGACATGCTCCAAACTAATGCCACGGAGAAGTGGAAGTAGTAGCACGGGAAAAGACTACTTCAAAGCAAAAGAAAACATATTACTAGCAGACAAAATCTACTTGAAAGTAAAACTCACTATAGGTCATAAGAAAGACCATTCCTTATTGATAGAAGAAACAATTCACCAGGAAGATTTAATACTTCTAAACTAGTATACCTAACTAGCCTCAGGCAGGGAAATGGCTGAATGAACTATGGTTTATAATGTAATAGAAGACCACTGAAATGAACGAGTTAGATCCACATATATTAACGTGGATAAATCTCAAAAAACAGTGTTGATGGATAAAATACAGCTGAAAAATGACACAGCTTGGTATATTTACATAAAATTTTAAACATAAAAATAGTATATATATTATTTGCATAGTTGTAACTATGCATAATAAATATGTTTGGAAATGACACCAACTCTAGAACAGCTAATAAGAGAGAACAGAGGGGAAATTGATAGGTGAGGGGTAAAAATCTGAATATGTCTGTAACTTTTTAAAGTTTTTTAAAGGGTGTTAAGTCAATATGGTGCTCACTTCAGCGGCATGTATAATAAAACTGGGATGATAAGGAGATTAATTTGGCCCTGAGGAAGGATGACACAAAGTTAAAACCTTTCACAGAGGAGTCTCTGATCACACGCAGTTAAGCTAAAAGGCAAGGAGGGGATCCAGTGCCAGGGAGAGGAACTGAAAAATCCCCAACTTCCTGGAAATTAAACGAAATGTTTCTAAATAACCCATGAATCAAAGAAGAAACCAAAATAGAATTTAGAATATATTTTAATATGAACGAGACTAAAAATACGCCTTATCAAAATTTACCGAATAGAGATGGTGCATCACTTAAAAGGAAATTTAGGAGGGAAATGGCTGTAAACAATGATTAAGCTTCCGTGCCGGGAAGCCAGGAACAGAACAAAAAATCAGGCCTCTAGAAAGTAGCAGGAAGGAAATAATAATAATAAAGGTTAGAACAGAAATTACGCCCTGGCTGGTGTGGCTCAGTGGACTGAGCGCTGGCCTGTGAACCAAAGGGTCGCTGGTTCGATTCCCAGCCAGGGCACATGCCTGGGCTGCAGGCCAGATCTCCAGTTGGGGGGCGTGTGAGAGGCAACCACACATTGATGTTTCTCTTTCCCCCTCCCTTCCCCTCTCTCTAAAAATAAATAAATAACGCCTGGCTGGCGTAGCTCAGTGGATTGAGCGCGGGCTGGGAACCAAAGTGTCCCAGGTTCGATTCCCAGCCAGGGTACATTCCTGGGTTGCAGGCCATGACCCCCAGCAACCGCACATTGATGTCTCTCTCTCTCTCTCTCTCTCTCTCTCTCTCTCTCTCCCGCTTTCCTCCCTAAAAATAAATAAATAAAATCTTTAAAAAAATAAAATACATAAATAAAAATAAAAATAAATAAAAAATATTTAAAAATAAAAAGCAAAGCCACCATGATCAAGGAATGAAGAGGAAAACACCCCTGCAGACACCGCAGACACTGACAGGAGAGGACCTTCTGAGTAACTTCACCACCACATTTGACAATTTGGATGCAATGAAGCAAATGCAACTAATGGTAAGATCTTTGGTCAGTGGTGCTGGGTATCTGTAATATTACTGTCTGCTCATTTTTGTAGCTGTAAGGTATTTCCAGATTTAAAAGCTTTTAAAAGCCGAGATATAGCACAGGAGGTACACGGTTCTTTTTTTCATGTTAATGTATTTTGTACACATGCACAGATCACCTCTGCACCTCTGGGAGGATGCACAAGAAACTGTCTCCCCCCCCCACCGTCTCCTCTTGCTTCTGTCCCTAACCTCTCCCCTCCTGCCCTCCACCCACAGGATGGACCCCAGGTCTGTGGGAACTCTGGAAATCCATGCTGAAGACAGGGAGTGGCCAAGAAGAGAGGAGCAGGGTCAGAGGTGGTGGTCAGGCAGGAGAAAACGAATTCCCAGCACCAGGGCTGAGACATTAGCCTGAAGTAAGGACCTCCAGAAAATGGA